CCCCTACACCTGTAAGGCCACATCTCCCATTAGTGCCACTCCCTTTGAAGGCCATTTTCTTTTAAACCACCACAGGGGTCTACTTGCTATGTAGGCTGAACAGGCAGGCTTCGAACTCATGATTTATCTGCCTCAGTGTCCTGGGTGCTGTGATTACAGGCTTGCATCACCATGCCAGCCTTAAATTAGTTTTTTAAATTTCTGTTTTCATAAAAAACCCCACGTCTCATGTCTGATGCTTTAAAAAACAAACAAACAAACAAAACCCCTCTGATTGTTGATTTGTTCTCACTAAGTGGTAAATAGTTTTTCATATGGAAAAGAACTATGGATTTTATACTTGTTGACAAGTATAAAAACCAGATATATAAAATTTGCATGTATTTTCTATGACCTTTTCTAGTTTTCATTAATCCCATATCCAGAAACAGGTCCCTGAGAGTCATTATGATAGATATTTTCTTTTTTCTTTCTTTCTTGTCTTTCTTTCTTTTCTTTTTTTCTTTCTTTTCTTCTTCTTCTTCTTCTTCTTCTTCTTCTTCTTCTTCTTCTTCTTCTTCTTCTTCTTCTTCTTCTTCTTCTTCTTCCAATCCTATAATATATATTAAACATCACAACAGGAACACAAATGCTTTTGGGATGCACTGTGAGCTATTCCATTAGGATCTTGTGGGTACCTCCCACCCTCACAGTGAACTGCATGGAGGCATCTGTATCATAGGAATCAAACAGGAGAACCCCGAAAGCAAGCAAGCAAATGGAAGGAAGCTCTGAAGAGGCAAAAGGCCCTAGGAGGAAGGTTGCCCCACGTGGTTCTAGAAAAGCCTCCCTTTTCATTGTATGATTCAATTGTAAAGAGGAAGTGAGTTCTGAGAAAAATATTTAAAGTACTCTAGTAGGGGGAAAAGGTGGTTCTTCACCAGGGGGTCCAGTCTCTGGGCTCCAGCTTGGCTCTGGTACTGATTTGGGATTGCAGGGCCTGTCCCTCCTCTGGTGTCAGGGCCGCAGGCATGCTTGCTCTTCACCCCTGGGGTGTAGCGCCGCACCCGCACAGCTGCTGACACCCTGGAGGTCACAGCCTCTATCTCAAGGAAGCAGGCTGCTGTGGCTTGCTCATCCTCAGTCAGCAGCAGATTCCCGCAAACATCCAGGGGAAGGGCTGCAGAGTCCGTGGGTGTGGTCGTGAGTACTGCAGGACCCAGACCAGCTAGGGCAGTGGTCACGGAAGCAGAGTTGGGGTTGCGTCGAGCCATACTCAAGGTCACAGGAGCCCCATCCCTACACACCTCTCCTCACGATGTTTGTGACAGCTTCCAAGTTCTTCAATCTTCCCCTTTCAAAACCAGATCCACTTTCCCCAAACCCCAAACTCTTTAGCTCTTTCTCACTGTCCCCTAAAAGGGTCAGCACCCGCACTGGCTCTCTTCCACACAGGCACTGTTGTGTCCATCTCCACAGGGCTTGCCCCGTCCAGGTCCTAGCGAGAGAAAGGCAGACGGAGAAGGCAAACCCCGCAGGCCACGGCATGGATTCACTCTGAGGTCCCAGGGCCCACCAGGATACCCCCACACTCGAAACAGTAGCATCTGTTAGAGTCGGCTGTCACAGATGAACAAGATGTCCACGAGCAGCAGATGGAGTGGTAGCTCTGGCTCCCGTCCTCATTAAAAAGGAAGAGGCTCTCCAGGAGCTTGTCCTTACATGGGGCACATATTCTTCCCTCAAACAAGGGGTGCTGCATATGCACCTGGGGACTTCCACAACGGGCTGATGTCTTCCATGTTCCGTGGGTTCACGGTGACTCATTACTTGATGATCTCTCTCCCTGGTCGGGGTGAGGCAGTGGACAGCAGCTGCCTGGAGTCTACCAGTACCCCATCCATGTTGTGCTTGGCAGTCGGGCTCAGGAAGGGTTTTGGCCACTGCTCTTCTAGGTGGTCGGCAGGGTCAGGGCTAGAGCTGCCTGGAGTTTCCAGGTTCCAGGTTCCAGGTTCCAAGGGAGAGGGCCTTGGAGCAAGAGGAAGGTGCCTCCCAGGAACCCACTGAGGTGGTCTGCCAGAAGGATCTGTGCCCCAGGGATGGCGGGTGGCTGGAGACTTTGAAAGGTATAGGAGAAAGTATTTTCTATTCCATTTTATTTTGATTTTATTTTTATACTCTTTTCGAAGATTTGTTTTTCAGTTATATGTAATTTTGAATGTCTGTGCCACGTGTATGCAGGTGCCCTCAGAGGTCATTGGATGTTCTGAGGCTGTGAGCCAACTCCATGCTGGGAGCTGAACTTGGGTCCTTTGAGCCATTTTTCCATCTGTCTGTACTTCGTTTGTTTGCAAGGAAGGAGGTTCAAGACAGGGTTTCTCTGTGTAGCCCTGGCTGTCCTGGAACGCTGTAGACCAGGCTGGCCTCAAACCTCCGAGATCTGCCTGCCTCTGCCTCCACAGTGCTGGCATTAAAGGTGTACACCACCACTATTGGGTTGTTGCTTTGTTTTTGATTTTTTTTCACTTTTATTTCATTTGCATTGGCGTTTTGCCTGCATATATGTCTGTATGAGAGTGTCGGGTCCCCTGGAACTGGAGTTACAGACAGTTGTGAGCTGCCATGTGGGTGCTGGGAATTGAACTCGGGTTCTCTGGAAGAGCAGTTAAGTTAAATGCTCTTCACCACTAAGTCACCTCTCCAGCCCCTGTTGCTTTGTTTTTTAAAGAGAGAGTTAGACCATAGTGGCTGTGACGAGTCTTGCTACTTGACAATACACAGCAGCAGTTCATGCCACTGTAGGCAAACTTAGAGCGCAGCACATCTGTTGAGAAAACATTTCAACTAGTTTTGGAAAGCGGAATAATTAAATAATATTTTACAAAGAGGAAACATCTTCCAAACAACCAGGACTAAAATAATTGAAGAAAAATGACTTAGCACGGAGGGTGCTTGGATGATCCCTGGGAGGCTGTTCTCAGCATAGCAGAAAGGCCCTTGACAACTAACTGTGTTCCTGACTTTTCCTCCCTTAATTGTAGAGAACAACCCTTAATATTCTTATAAGTCCAGGATCACCTACTCTTCCATTTCTTTGCACAAAACTTTCTCTTGGACTAGAACAGTGATTCTCAACTTTCCTAATGCTGTGACCCTTTAATACAGTTCCTCATATTGTGGTGACCCCTAACTATAAAATTATTTCATTGCTACTTCATAACTGTAATCTTATTACTGTTATGAATCATAATGTAAATATCTGATATGTGAGCCAAGGGGTTGTGACCCATAGGTTTAGAACTGCTGGTTTAGAAAGTATTCCTTTCTTGGTATTGCACAACTGTATTCATAGGTTCTCATGATTGTATTGTATTAGATGTGTGTTTCCGTAAGAAACCCTGGCATCATGCATTAGGTCATGAATGAATATCAGCTGGATTTTTAGGTAGCATCAGAATTTCAAGTGGAAGGAATGAAGTTTTCCAGGCAAGTGAGCCTTGATGCAAAGGCTGTGTGTAGAAATGGGACTGCCTAGTTCCATGGACTGAAGACAGAAGGAAGGGAAGACTCACATATCCTAACAAGCATATCTTGGGGCTTCGGCAGGAGTCTATCCATAAGGATAATACTCAGTAGTGTGCCACGCTCTCGGAGGTTTTATCACTCTACTTTAGCCATGGACCTGTGTCCTAGACCCCAGCGACAGGCTTTGTTGAGATTCCTATGTGTAGTGGAAGAACACACACAAGTGACTTGAGGGTATATGAAAGTTTCATAAATAAGACTGAAATAGCCCCACACCGGAAACAGTAAGAGATACAAAGGATTCGTTAAACTATTATATGGTTATGGAACGGGGTATTGCACAATACTGAAGATGATGCCAGAGATTTACCATCACTGATTGTTTGGAGGGGAAAAGGTACATAAGTATTTTAGTAATAATTTTAGTGTGTCTTAGATATTTTGCTTGAAATACCTGTTTATGGCTAAAGATTTATGCCTTATGTTCATGAAAGCATTTTTTAGGATAGAAGCCAAAAATATTAGCAGAGGTTGTTTCTTTGTGGCGTTTAGACCTATCTTTACATACACCTTTATTTGTGTGTGTGTGTGTGTGTGTGTGTATACATACATGTGAAGTCATGGGCCACTCATTTACTCTGTCTTTTACTACCTTGTGCCATTTATAAGAACTGCATGTGATTTGATATTCATACATATCTTTATGCTATGGCAGGATTACCTGGGAACATAACAGATGGTCACAGTGTTTGTTATAGTTATCTAGCAATTTAACTACTTGGACTGAAAAACCTGGTTTACAATCACTTCTCCACATCTGCAATATGATAATTGATCGTGTTAATAGCAACCTTGAGACATTTACAAGTCACCATGCAATTTTTTTTTTAAGATTTAATTTCAAATTTATATGTATGGTTGTTTTGCCTGCATGTATGTATGTGCACAGTGTGTGTGCAGGGTTCGTGGACACCAAAAGAGGGTGTTCTGGGACTGGAGTTCCAGATGGGTGTGGGAACTGAGACCCCAATACTCTGTAAGAGCAGCAGGGACTTTTAACCACTGAGCCATCTCTCCAGCTCCTCACATTTTTATTACTAGCTAACATTCCTAAGCTCTGTAAAAAACAAGAGATAGCTGCAATGTAGTCGAAGTGTTTGACTAATCAAAGATACACTATTCTTTTTTCTTTTTTTTTTTTTTTTTTTTTGTTTTTTTTGAGACAGGGTCTCACTATGTAGCTGTGGCTGTCCTAGAACTCACTGTGTAGACCAGGAAGGCTTTGAACTCACAGAGGTCCACCTGCCTCTGCTTCTCTGCCTCCTGAGTGACTAAGGGCATGTCCTCCTCCCCAACACACACACACACACACACACACACACACACACACACACACACACACGTACACTATTCTAAATCTGGCTGGATAGAAATGAATTTTCTTGTACTAAGAGCAGTCTATTTTGTTTCTGACCATTCACAACATTTTTTTCCAGGTAATCGAGATTTTGCCAAAGATGACCCACTGGAGTTCAAGTCCCACCAGTGGTTGGGAGCTTCTGTGAGGTCAAAGCAGGATAAAATCTTGGTAAGTCTTTAGGAATTACCTCAGGTGAGTGGGGCCAGTTTATGTGGCACAGGAAGTTTTGTATGTTCAAGTTGGTCTGGCCAAGGGCACAAGGTATCATGAAAGACCAGCTCTGATCCAAGGCTCACCGAGTGAGCATGCTATCACTCTTGCTCTCCTGAGACGAGGCTCCTGCTTCTTCTGCCCTCTGACCTACACTGTTCATTTCTTCCCGCTCCATGGTAGTCCCCACCGGTTTACTTCTGTCCATCACATTTAGGAATAGAATGCTTTTGACTAATCAAATGCTTTCGTATTTCTTCTTTAAAAACTGCAAAAACAAACCAAAAAACCAATAAACAAAACAAAACAAACAAACAAATAAAAAACTGCAAACAACCTGCTAGTCTTCCGTTCTGCTACAGCCCTGTTCCTCTGCCCAAACAGTTGTTTAAAATGTCCTTTGAACATGAACCGCCTCCATTCCTAATGTTATTCTCCCAGTAATCTGAGCCAGGCATGAGAAGGCCAAACCAAGGTCACTCAGACTTCAAGATTATTAAAATTTTACTGCTCCCTCATTTTCAGAGAGATGTTTGTTACCGTAATGTGTTATTTTCTGCATGGATACTTAGTTCTTATCTTCTTGCCCCTCAGCACCATTGAACAAAGTCAGTCCTGTTCTCTCACACACCTTTTTAAAACAATATTAACACGATTTTATTTTGTGGGTGTGGGTGCTTTGCCTGCTTGTATGTCTCTTCACTACATGCATGCAGTGCCAACAGAGGCCAGATCAAGGCGTCGGGTCCCCTGTTACTGGAGCTGCAGACAGTCGTTAGCTGTCGTGTCGGTGCTGGGGACCTAACCTGGGTCGTCTGGAGGAGCAACCAGTCTCCTGACTCATGCGGCATCTCAGCCATTTCTGCACTCTCTCTCCTCCCCACACACTTTTTGGCCACTCGCTGCCCCCTTTGAGACATGATCTCGCTCTGTAGCAGGGCCGTCTCTGAACTCACAGTCTTCCAGCCTTTACCTTCCACGTTCTGAGATTACAAGCACACGTCTCCACGCCAGGCTTAGTCTTATGACTATTTTGTGACACCACATGTTCATGTTTTATTCCTCACTATCTTGCTCACTTTTTTTTTTTTTCCGAGACAGGGTGTCTCTGTGTAGTTTTGGTGCCTGTCCTGGATCTCACTCTGTAGCCCAGGCTGGCCTCGAACTCACAGAGATCCACCTGGCTCTGCCTCCCGAGAGCTGGGATTAAAGGGGTGCGCCACCACCGCCCGGCTTTGCTCACTTTTTTCATATCTCGGTAATGATTCTTCTTCAGTTCCTAAATGTTGGGGTGTCCTTGAGCACTGCTAAAGGCTCCATTGTTTTCTCTAGCTAAACCGTTTACCTAGAGGCTCCTCTCTTGTTCCATGTCTGTGAATACAAACTGTACATCATAATCTCCAAGTCGATATCTCTAGCTATTAGTTGGTCCTAAATCTTTAAAGGCATATTCCTAAATTATCTGTCTGCCATTCTTAGTTATCTGTTTAATAGACCACTCTGAATGAATATGGTCAAAGTGGGATTCTTGTTACCCTCTATCAAAGAGCATGAACAAACAAGCAGAAGTAACTTTTTCCTGGATGACTTCTCTGACGTGTCGAGAGGTATGGCTTCCCACTCTACCTATCCGTGATCCCTGCCAAAATGTATCCACCTCCAAAGAGATCTATTGATAGCTCTCCATCTTCGTCATCTGCCCTGCAGTGGACTGCTACCATTGCTCATCCAGGCCAGGGCAATTGCTCTTCTCATCGGTCAGCGTCCTCATGCCCCAACCTCAACCTGTTCTGTGTTGCAAGACTTAAGGGATCAGCACTTCACCCTTTCGATTAAAACAGTAGAGTGGCCTTCTGTCTCTGAAGTTGATCAAACTGGCGTTTATGTGCTACTACAATCAGGTTTGCTGTAATGGGGGTTTCTATTACTGTGATAAAACGCCATGACCATGAGCAACTGGAGGAGAAGGTTTATTTCAGTTTACAGTTCCACTTTATAGTCCATTATCCAAGGAAGTCAGGGTAAGAACTAGAGACAGAAGCCATAGAGGGGTGCTGCTTACTGGCTTGCTCCTCAGGGCAAAACCACCAGCCCAGGGCTGGCCCCACCCTGAGCTATGTCCTCCCACATCAATCTTTAATCAAGAAGATGGTCCACACGCTAATTTGAGGAGGGCATTTTTTTTCTCTGTTGAGGTTCCCTCTTCCAAAATGACTCTAGCATTTGTCAAGTTGGCATAAAAACTAGTCAGCACAAGGTTATAGGCTCTCCTTCTGCATTACCTCAATCCATCTTAAATATGTCAATGACACTTGTCTTTCGGTTTATTTCTTCTGTATAAATTGTACGTAGTTTTTTTCCATTTCAACCAGTACCTAGTGTTTATGTTCCTTCTACCTGGAGGGTGTTTTGTCGATTCTTATTCAGTCATCTCCTTTCATTCAGTGTTCACTTTTAATTTCATTTTCTCAGAGAGTCCTCTTTAATTATTTCATTTTTACTTACCATTTTTTTTAAATGTGATGATGGGGTGTTAGGGGAAATCTGTTAAAGAGTTGAGGTTTCAGTAGGACATTAGAAGGCATGTCAAGTGTCAGCACTTAGAGCTGAAGGCTAGTGTGAGAAGGGGTGTGTGAGGCAGAAAGATGTATAAAGCAAAAGCAAGCTCAACACGCTGCTCATCCACTCTGCAGAGTCCGGGACATGCAGGGAAGTAACGGCTCTTGTCTTCTAATTCCGCCAGAGTGGATGTGAAATAGTCCAAGGTCAGAGTTTCTCTTAAAAAGTCATTATAGAAGTATGCTGAGCTTTCTTTTAGCGGCTTAAAATGTTAAACTTTTGGAAGTTTTGTATGCCATTAAAACATTCATTATTCTACCACTTCTATGAAATATTGAAATTGGACCTTTGGGAAGTTGATTTGGAAAGTACATAGAAGAAGCACGGCAGGGTGTTTTTTGTTTATTACTCTTATTACTTGCTGTATAACTTAGGGGTATCTCCTGCAAGCACAAGGATGTGGTGTAGTTCAGAAGTTGACTCAAACTGTGACCTTAAAGTCCAACACACAGCACCCAGAAACAGTGCTACTTGAAACAAGAGCTTTGCTGACTTTGAAAACATACAAATGTAGAATCCAAGTATAGTCTTCCAAAAACTCTATTCCTGATCTTAACTGAGAGGCTTAGAAGGGGCAGAAGAATCTGACAAAAACCTTTTTTTTTTTTTTACATTTAAAAAAATTTTCAAGACAGGGTTTTTCTGTGCAGCCCTGGCTGTCTTGGGACTCACTCTGTAGACCAAGCTGACCTTGAACTCACAGAGATCCACTTGCCTCTACCTCCCAAGTGGTGGCATTAAAGGTATGTGCCACCACTATGCAGAGAAAAAATACTTCTTTAAAAATCTTTATTCACTCTTGTGAGAAAGCAGAGGGTAGTTCTGAATTTCTCAATGCTTAGACTCTTGCATTCTGAGTTATCGTAGATATATGGATTATTAACTTTTCAGAGGATTCCTGTATCATGGACCACACCTTTGTTTTTAGGCTTGTGCTCCGTTGTACCACTGGAGGACCGAGATGAAGCAGGAGAGAGAGCCTGTTGGAACTTGCTTTCTTCAGGATGGAACCAAGACTGTTGAGTATGCGCCATGCAGGTCAAGTATGTATGAGAAGCTGCACCTGCTTTCAACAAGAGACCGTAGGAGCCTAGTTTTTGTGTGAGATGCATGTGTGTGTGTGAGACTGTGTGACAAAATATGTAGACATTGTGAGGTTTACAGAGCAAATGAAAAATAATTCTGCTCATACAAAGACATTAGAAATATGAATAAATCATAAATTCTAAGAACTCAGTTTGGCCATCTTTGGTTTCTGATAATTATTATCTGATTTTGGAAGTCTGTTATTTCCAGTCCAGTGAAAAGATGCTCATGGGAGCTTTTCTCAAGGAGAAATGGGCATCACAATTAAAGATTGTGAGTTACTAGATCAGGCCTTGAATCTACCTTTTTTTTTTTTTTTTTTTTTTTTTTTTTTTTTTTGGTTTTTCAAGACAGGGTTTCTCTGTGTAGTTTTGGTGAGTCCTGGATCTCATTCTGTGGACCAGGCTGGCCTTGAACTCACAGAGATCCGCCTGGCTCTGCCTCCCAAGTGCTGGGATTAAAGGCGTGCGCCCCCGCCGCCCGGCTGGAATCTACATTTTTCACAAGCTCTATGAGGTGGCTTGGTTGGGCCCCAAAGTTTGAGAACCATGGTTGTAGAAGAGTAATGGTGCTAAAAGTAAATTTTAAAGAGGATGTCTGTCTGAGCCAGTTTGCAAAGGAGGGTGAAGATAGCGTTTAGGTGTCTTCTGTCTAAATTGGCCAGGCTTTACTTTCATTGGAATTTTAACTAACAGCGAAAAGCCCACATGTCTGTTGGTTATCCCATGAACCTCAGGTTTTTCCCTAATGTTGGTTGAAATTCCAAAGAAAGTAATGTCCAGGTGATTTCAAGCACGTATCATTTTGGTTACACCTTTCTCTGCATATCTTTCTTCCACTTGAGATCCCAGACCCTTCGCAAACCTGCTTTTTGTTGAATTGACCATGACTTTACATCCTCTTTATACCAAGGACATAAAAGCAGATTTTTGAAAATGCAGTCTTGCCTGGTCTATAGGGCAAATTCTTCAAGACGATCCATCTACCCCTAAGACCATAGGCAGTACCGAATCCTATGTGCTGCTGAATTTCTTTTTACGAAGTTTTTCTTTAGGGCAACTTCCCAAGTAGTAACTTCAGAACATGATTGATAGTGAGTAACTGAGACAGTGAGCCGCCAAACTGTGCCAGTAAAGGAGACTGCATGTAGTGTTTCCACCGGGTACAGAATTAATTAGTAAAGTCACAACACGTAAGACTCTTCCTGCTGGACTCGGCCTTTCCATGTTAGGTGACATAACAGCAGCTCAAAGGAATGGCACAGTCTTCTAGCTTCTAAGATTTGGATCTCCAGGGAATTGCAACTTTTTTAATTAAACAATTGTTAATTAAACACACACACACACACACACACACACACACACACACACACACACACACACACACACATGCACGCACACACGCGCAGGCACACCAGTGATCTTTGTTCTCATTTGAGAAATGCAAAAACTGAGACTCAAGGCAGGTGAAGCTGAAGCATTTCCCCCAAATTAAATCCCCTGGTACCGAATGGCCAAATAAGAATTTAAACTCAAGTGGTCATTTTTTTCTTTTTGGTGCTAGGTGTCGTGTCCAGGGTTTCATGTCTATCAAGCACTCTCACCCCTGAACTATGCCCACTGACCTGTAGGTCTATTGTATTTCCAAAGATCCCTTCCTTGCATCATTAAGCAGGGAATATGCTATGCTTTCCATTTCAACCGCTTCTGGAAAGCATTCTAGTGATGAGTCCTGTGTATCTGTTTCTTAAGGCTTCCATTTTTTTGCTTCAGACATAAAAATTATGAAGTAATGAAGCCTTATTTTCTAAGATAATTAACATTCTAACTATAGTGCTCTATGATTTATGAACTTGCTTTTAAAAATACTTTTTTATGGAACTAGGCGGTGGTGGCACATGCCTTTAATTCCAGCACTCGGGAGGCAGAGGCAGGTGGATCTCTGTGAGTTTGAGGCCAGTCTGGTCTACAGAGCAAGTACCAAGACAGCTAGGGCTACACAGAGAAACCCTGTCTTTAAATCAAAACAAAACAAAAACAAAAACAAAAAAAAAACACCCACCTGTTTTGTGGGAATATAGCCACACCCATTTGCTTACATACTATCTAGAAAATCGAGTCTTTCTGAAGTTGACATACTATATGGACCCCCTATTTCCTGAAATATTTAACTGCCTGGCTCTTTTCAGAAGATGTACATGGAACTCTGATCTAACTAAAACATCTCAAGGAAAAGCATCATAAAACATATTAGCGGAGGAAATGCCTTTCTTTAGCAAACCAGGTTATAGTAAAGCTGCTTGGCCAAACCTTTGAAATATGAGATGCCTGCAGACTCTAATTAAGAGGGGGCAACTTATCCAGAGGGGACACTCAGGAGGAGGGAGAGCTTGAAACGCTGGGTCACAGCCTCAGAGTCTACAGAGTCTACCCTGTAGCACTGGGTAATTCCCTTAAGCATGCTGAGCCCTCGCTTCATTGCTGGTAGAACCCTGATCCTGGCCAAGCATTTTAGAGGCGCTCTTTGATATTTTGTGTTTTATTCATGCTTCAGTAAACTGAACAGTCCAGAGCAGGAGGATTCCAGTTTTTCGAGGCTGCATGCTGACCTTTGTATCTTTGCTTGTATTTGTGTTGGTTTTTGTATGTGTGTGCTGGTGTTTGTTTCTGGTTTTTTATTGTTGTTGTTGTTTGTTTGTTTGTTTGGTTTGGTTGGTTGGCTAGCTGATTCATTGATTTTGTTTTTCACATGACCGATGTGTACAGCCTGAATAAAGCACCTCACTCCTTGTTTTCCAGTTACTTCTTTATTGCTTGTGGTTACTTTTGGCTTTCAATGACAGTATCCAGACCATAGCTGGCCTTAAGCAGTAGCCAGATGTCCATCTGTTGAAAAACTGCCTGAGTCACATGGTGTGAACACTTATGTTCCCACTGAGTCCTTTATCCCTGATCTCTAATTTTGATAACCATATTTGGATCCTTTTCTCAGTTAAGTTTTCTAGTTTTTTTCTTCTACTTTTTCCTTATCCAGATAATAATGGTCCGGCTGCTGAGAGAGGTAGCCCAGCTCGGTAGTAGTCAGGAACATAGTTGTAGTTAGCTGGTTGACCATTATCAAGATAGTTAATTTCCCCAAGCATTAGTCTCCCCTCTGTACAAAAGGTGACTAATAATCACATCTCCCCAGAGATTGTTGTAAAACCTGAAAAGAAAATGCGATGTGAATAGCTTCTAGTAAGTGCCTAATGCGCACCAGTTGACCGTATTGTTCCAATCACCAGTAGTCAATACTATTTCCAGGCCTGACCAGTGGGAGAAGTGTTGGAAGAGTGTTGGTCATCTGTGGAGATAAACACTGAGCCCTTCACTGAACTAAGTTGTATTCAGCACAAAAGTTTAAATTGTCGGTCACACCCAGCTTAGTATGTGCTGGTTAAGGAAATTTTAAGGAAGTTGTGTATTTCAGCTGGATGTCCCAGGAAACCAGCCAAAGCAGACAATGTCATAGAACTAAAAAAGGCACGTCTTCGTAGATAACTGAGGATCGTTCCCTGATGCAGCTTGACTGGAGGAAATGCAGGGCTGCCTTGAGGTTGAGGCACAATTCCTTGGTATGATTCACCAGACGCTGGAAAGCCCAGTCCACATTTTCCTGGTCCCTCTTGGTTAGAAAAATTTACATTAGAGTAGTGTTACACTCTTGTGACTGTTTTCTTAAAGCAGAAAATATTTTATTGTGTAATCTTGGGGCAATTCCCAGATTTTAAAAATGGGTTCAAAAGTTTTGAAGGGATTATTTCACATGCACACATACACATACACACAAAAATTTTTGGAAGTTTGACATTCTGATTAAAATGAACAACTTTTGGTGTCTGTATTGAGTGACCTGGGTATGAGGAACTTTTGATATATTTGCAACATTAGGGCATAGATTCTTTGGTAACTGAAAGATGGCATTAAAAAAGGAAGAATTTAAAAATAAGCATCTCTGTGCTGAGTGCAGTATCGTTCATGATTAAAGTTAGTTTAAATTAATTAGTTAATTACTTAGTTCAAAATTGGTCACCTTTTCTGAGACACTCAAAAAGAGTAATTACAGGAAAGCAAATTATTAACTGCTGTGGTTGGAAGACACCTTGAGAGCCATGTTTAGATGAATTTAATTAGCTCCTATGACTATAGTAAGAATAGTTGCATATTTTACTTTTCATAGAACATTAAGTTTGGACTTTGCAATTTTCTGAAATTCTGCACCATGTTATTTATAGTTCTTTTTTGTTTGTTTGTTTTTGAGAGGGTCTTTCTATGTAGCCCTGGCTATCCTGAAACTCACTCTGTAGATCAGGCTGGCCCTGTAGATCAGGCTGGCCTCAAACTCAGAGATCCTCCTGCCTTTGCCTCCTGACTGCTGGGATTAAAGGTGTGCACCACCACTGCTGGCTTAGTTTTTTATTTTTATCACATCTATAAAAATGCATACATAGGAAATATATGTGTGTGTCTTTTTGTTGTTTTTCCTAAACTTAGCAAAGACACAGCAACCGTACAGCAATAGGAAGAAAGAAGCATTTCAGAAAGAAGGCTTAAGTTTGGGGATGAAAACTCACTGGTGTTTCATATATAATGGGTCACTATTGGTATCTTTTCAAAAAACAAGATATAATTGAATAGAGAGTGTACATTATAGATTACTTTGCATAGCATAGTGTTTTGTGAGATTTTAAGTCATGTATTTATTTTGCATACTCAAAATGTTTGACGCATTGTGAGACAAGCTATAATCTCCCTGTGAGTTGTGTTTGAAGCAAGTAGTTTAATCCAGTTGTGGGGACATGTGCCTTAATCCTAGCACTTGAAAGGCAGAGAAAGGAGGATCCTGAATTTGAGGCTGGTCTAGACACTACATAGTGGAATTCTGTCTCAAAAAGAACATCTTAGCTGATTCTTTTGGTCCTTGGCAACTGGCCCACACAGTCCACACTCTAATGTCTCTGTTTTTGTATCTGAGATGAAGAAATTGTCCTGAGGAACATGTGGGCTAGTATGACAGTAGCCAGGTGCCTGAGTGAGTCCTTTGAAGAAACCATGGGTTCAACAATAGCAGATTTATTTATTTCACGCTTTGTTTGTGTTATTTGCTTGTTTTGGGGTTTGTGTATATTTCCAATCTTTTTATTTTAGAAAATATTGATGCTGATGGACAGGGATTTTGTCAAGGAGGATTCAGCATTGATTTTACTAAAGTAAGTTCTCATTCAAGACAGTTCAGATCTTTACTGACTCAGCTGGGTTTGAAAATGCATGGTCCTTACTTCAACTTTCTTATAATTATTATTATAATTAATGAAAAGAGTCATGAAGCAGTCTGTTCATTTTGATATTCTTTGGCTTATAGTGTTCCCTCCTTCATAAACATTGCTCATGTGAAGTGGTGAGACAGCAGAGTGAGAATGGAGGAAAGGAGAAAATCTCTTCAGTAAATGATTCTAACTATGAAGACATTACAGTTTCTAGGGCAGGCAAGATTGTCTCAGCCAGTAAAGGCATTTGCCATCCAAGACTGATGACTTGAGTTCAATACCTGTAATCTGTATGAACTGGCTCTAGGAGTTTGTCCTCTGATCTCCATATGTACACCTCTCTGACTTACATCATGCCCAAAACACACTTACACACATACACGCACACACACACACACACACACACACACACACACACACATATATATACACATACATATACATACTACACACACATTCACACACACGTATACACACATACACATACACTCACATACACATATACACATACACTACATACACATATACACACATACTACATAAACATACACACAAAACACCCCATACACACATTCACAAGCACACACATACATTCACACACATATACACATACATACACATACTACACACACATTCACACACACATATACACATACATATACATACACACACTATATAAACATACACATAAAACACCCCTTACACACATTCACAAACACGTATTTACACACACACACTTAAAATTTCCACTTGTGGAGATTTATAGACTATTAGTTTCCTTTCCCACTGAAATTGGTTCTTCACAAAAGCTATCAATAGGGCTTTTGTTACAAAATCAGCTTGATTACATAAAAGTCGAGAACCGTATCTGTTACCATCTGTTTTTGGTCTGTAGGTGCCAAGTGAAGGTGAGGCGGTTTAATAATGGTGGGGATCTCATGAGCAAGATTCTGGTTTTAACTAAACTGACATTCCCTGCACGCCCGACAGTCTTCAGTCTACCCAAGCAAAGACCTCATCGACATTTCCAAAGACAAGCTTTATAAGCGTGCTTCTTTATGGTGTTCTGTTCACTTCACCATCTGTTTGTCAGTGTCTAGACGTTTTGAACATCGAGTTGGTGATATTAACCCCTCTTGGGAGAAGCTGCAAAAATAGACTGATTAAATGAGCTTCCGGCCCTGAGAGGTGGCACATACCACAATCCCAACACTCAGGAGCCTAAGGCAGGAGGATTGCAAGCTCCGGAACTTCTCAGGCTCCACCAGAGTAAAAAGTAACAGCCAAAGCAACAACAGTAGCAATAACAGCAGGATGGAAAGTGATATGTACATTTGGGAGGAAAACAACGCCTTCCCTTGAGCAAGAAAGCAATTCGGAGACACCACGCACAAACACAAAATACCTTTGGTTAGACCCTTACTCTTTGTTACAGGTTTGAAAAATGCTGGTGTCCTTCACTGAAACTTCACTTCGGAAGCCACACGTCTTTAAGACTGTGAGATACTAAAATGGTTTCCCTTTGGCAGAACATTCCTCAGTGATCACTAGAAAACATATCTCAAGTGGTCATAAATCTAATAGATGAAGTGAAGAAGCAATCTTTTCCTTATTGTAACAAGGGCTGTTTCCACCAGTACTTCCTTCAGAGTGTACAGGATAGTCAAGGTCTCCCGGAAAAATGTCCAGTACTTCATTCAGAATGTGCAGGATAGTCAAGGTCTCCCGGAAAAATGTTTCCATGTTAAATGAAGACTTCTTAATACCTTTAATAATGATAATTAAGTTCTTAATTCTTCTAGAAAAGTAAATGCATACTACTGAAACTGAGTCAGCTGAGCTAATGGCTTGTTATTTAATTATAATATGTTAATTTAATACATGCATAAGTATCTGTAATGTTTATTTAGCATATTGATTTCTGTGTTCAAGCTCATTGTTTTAAGCATCTCCCTTCTGTTCTGTGATTTGATCTAGGCTGACAGAGTACTTCTTGGTGGTCCTGGTAGCTTTTATTGGCAAGGTAGGTTCATATTTTTCAACTGAATACTTGGCTACTTATTTGCCCATGAAGTATCTCAAATTATATTAAAGAAATGTAACTTAATAAGTAACTTAATTATCTACTATACAATATTTTTAGAAAAGAATTTGATGTGCTTTCTATGGTATATATTAAATGTGCATATGTTTGAGACAGGAAGTCAACAGTTTTAAAAGTAAATTTAAAGTAAACATATTAAATCATTTTAAATGTTTTTTTTTTTTAAATTGTAAGCGTTGTGTATTTTATTTTTATACTCCAGAGGCCATGGCACATAAATTAGTGACTGTACCCTTCTGAAAGCTGGGGTTTTAAATTGCTCATTAGAATACCCAAATGATGGCTTTAATTTTTCTAATCCCTGCCCTTAAGAGGCCTTTAAAGTTAGAAGACCTGTGAATGTGGTGGCACACGCCTTTAATTCCATCACTCGGGAGGCAGAGGCAGGCAGATATCTGTGAATTCGAGGTTTACCCAGTGTGTTCCAGGACAGGCCTGGCTGCATAGTGAGACCCTGTCTCAAAACACAAAAACAAACAAACAGACAAAAGATCTTAACTTAATAATGAAATTGGCAGTGATATAAAGATAAAACACGATCCAGCCATTCTAGAAAAGTCTAATTAAGCCGTCATCTGAGTAAGTGTAGAGGAGGTCATTATTGCCAACAGTTTGAGGAAGAGGTGAGAAAAGACAAAAGTCATGCAGCAGAGACAATATATTCAAGACACACTAAAATAGGCAAAGCATCATTTGTTTGATTTGTTAGAGGTGCACGTTTATGTGGCTAATATGTTACTTGTTTAGTTTCTCCTAAGAAGTGCTGTTCACAAGGTCAGAACTCCCCTTCTCTGGCAGCTCAGTTTTAAGGGTCTTTGCTTGGAAGCACCCGGAGACGGCATGACTATCAGTTTGACAGTCTTTTAACTTTGAGTTTTACTTTTTTATTTTGCTCTGTGATTTTTCCAAATGAGGCTCTTTGTGGGGCACTTCCTGCTTTCATTCCATATCTTGAGAGAGATGGAAAAGACAGGTATTTGTTGCAGGAACAGGGAATTTGTTGAATGAGAAATAAGAACAGAGTCCAGAAAAATCCAGGCATCAAACCCGCGGGCCAGTCCGCGAGGTGCGCTAACTAAGATGGGGGCGAGTGTGGGTTTCGGGGGATCGTGCAGCTATGGGGAGGGAAATTTAGGAAAATTAATTGAATTTTAGTGTTGTAGAACAAATGCAGCATTTTAAAGTGCAGATGAAGAAACCAGGGCCACTGCTTCTTGTTAGGCATGACAGTGTGGACAGTTTCCTGATGGAGTCCTTAGCTGGCCTGTGGGGCTTCAACCCCCATCACTGGGGTGGGGGTTGATAAAACAGAACCAACAAACTTGGGTTCATTTTTCTTCTTACTAAGCATGTCTTCTGCCCTTCAGCAGAGCCAAGGGAGGTAGATGGGTATTCCTGGGAAACAACCGTGAGAGAGCCGAGATTTTGTGATTCTCACCAGCCCACTGATTTAAGACACATCTTCTATGATATGTTGATATCATGATTATATCAGTGGCCTGCAATATACAACTAAAGACTCAATTCACAGAGAATATTTTAGACAAAGGTTTTTCTTTAATGGTTTAGGGTTATTTGGGACTAATAATTAGAAATAGTGATGCCTAGTCAGGATTGATGGTGAACATTAATAAGCCCATCACTCAGAAGCTGGGACAGAAGAATTGAGAGTTCAAGGCCAACTTGGGCTATATAGTGGGACCCCTCCACCCCACAAACAACAAAATGAAACAAAGCACTAGAAGTGATAATGTCCCCCAGGACTTTTGTCCACACAGGTACCACCCATTGCTTGTACCCCGAAGTTCCCCTTAGAAGTCTGTTTCACACATTCATGTCTGCCTCCCCCCAACAGGCCAGCTCATTTCGGATCAAGTGGCAGAAATCATATCTAAATATGACCCCAATGTCTACAGCATCAAATATAATAACCAATTAGCAACGCGGGCTGCACAAGCAATTTTTGATGACAGTTACTTGGGTAAGTAAATGCAAAAATATAGACTCCTTGTATGGAGTTGTGGTGTATTTGCCCTATTTTGCATATACTACTTTAAGTAAAAAAAAAAAAAAAAAAAACTGGAGTAATTTTTTAAAAAACACCTAAAGGGCATACAGCATCTAATGGGTGTTGAATGTTTAGGTTATGCTATAATTCAGTAATTAAAACTGAAGATAGTGCTTATTTATGCACTGCTAATAATAATAGCTAACCTTGAAATGTGATTCCCATATTCTAGGCATTGTCTAAGTGTTTTCTTTGTGTTGCTCGTGGAATCCCCACAAGTCTGTAGAGTGCACCATTCCCACTCCCGTTTTGTATGTAATGGTGCTGAGGTGCTGAGGCGCGGAGGCCCAGCTGCTGGTCGACTGTGCTGTGTCCCAGCCTAGGCATTTTGGCTACTCAACTTTTAGACAAGGTTTTGGTTTCAGGATTTATTGGTGTTTGTTCTTGCCCTTTAAATTTCTTTTGTTATTTATGGAAACAAGTCACACCACAGAAGCAGGACTTGATGACTGAGAGAATCTGTTATTCTTTGTTCCTTTTGGGCAAACTGCAGATTTACCCTGGTTTTTTTTTTTTTTTTTACACTCCTTTGTCTTAGTTTTCTAATTGGGACGCCCCCATGTTGAGTACTTAACTGACTCACTGCCTTTAAAATTTGCCTGCCATATGCATATGAATCTTTATCCCAGAGGAGAGAGAAGCTTCAAATACTCTGAAGGGATTCACCATGTCTCACCTTTCATTCCTGTCTAGGTTACTCGGTGGCTGTGGGAGACTTCAATGGCGACGGCATTGAAGGTAAGAAGAGTTTGGGCTACCCTTAGTCCTGGTCAACCTAAGCATTTGAAACACAAGACACTGAACGTTTCAGCAATTTGCATCCATTACTATGGTATATACAGAAGGAAGAAAGTGTTGGGGATGGAAACCCCTGTTCTCAGCCAGAGTTCTTCCTGGCAGGGCGGCCATGGGACTGGAGCTCTTTCCCTGTTCCTTTCCAGGCCCTGACAAGTCCTGTCTGCGTGGAGAGGCTTTTCCTCTTCTGGGCTGTGGGCAGAGCTTGGGAGTCGGCTGTTCCTCCTTCCTCCTTGCCTTGGTTCAGAAGTCAGTGTAGCAATCCTGGGCATCACAAAGGTCATGCTTCTGGCCCCAGGCTCCAGTCTCATTTCAGTTGACTTTGTATTGTTTTTCGTTACTGTAAATACAGCTTTCCTTAGTTTCTCAGTTGATCTTTCTATTCCTGTTTAATAAAATGGCGAGTGATTGGAGGTCTTGCTTGCTTGTGTGAGGTCCTGGCTGTCCTTGAACTCACTCTGTAGACCAGGCTGGTCTCTGCTGGGATTAAAGGTGTGTGCCACCACACTCAATGTATTTGAGTTCTTGATAATGTTTTTTTTTTTTGACTTACAAATTACATTTTTATAATTTAAAATGCAAGGGTCACTTCATATGCAACATCAATTTAAAAAAGCAACTCTCGTTTGTTTTCTACTAGATTAACAAAACTTAAAGCTCTCTGGCAGAACACCTATGTTTGTAAATTCCAGTGTTTGTCTTAAAAATGAGTAATTAAGGTTTTTTTTTTCCCCTAGATTTTGTGTCAGGAGTTCCGAGAGCAGCGAGGACTTTGGGAATGGTAGGAGTGATAAAGATGGTTTTAAACATCTGGGCAGGGGTTGGGGAGATGGTCCGAAGATGGGAGCGTTCTTGCCTCACAAGCCTGAGGACCTCTGTTAGGATCACCGGCACGAATGTAGAAGCAGGCCCATCACACTGTAACCCTAGTGCTGTGGGTTCAGGTGTAGAGTCCGGTGGATCCCTGGGGCTTACTAGTCAGTCGTCACACTAATGCACGAGCTCCAGGTTTAGAAATAGAGACTGTCTCAAAAAAGGACGAAGACACTCAACTTCCACCTCTGGCCTCCACACACATACACATGCATCCTTCCCTCCATGCACATATCTCCACAAACATGTTCATAACCCCCCACCCCACCCCAATCCTTAGCTATCATCCATTTGACTGCATGTCATTTACTTTTGTTTCCCTACACAGGTTTATATTTATGATGGGAAAAACATGTCCTCTTTACACAATTTTACCGGCGAACAGGTATGCTATTAAAACGTCACCCTTCCATTATAAGAATTCACTGAAGAAAACGTGGCAGTGAAAAACAGATGTCATACACAGTGTAAAGTGACACGGCTGTGGAAGGGTCCTCCTGCCGCTGCTTTCTCTCGCGTTCAAGTGTGTGTGAAAGCCACAGTTCGTGCCTTCTGTTTTCAGTTTGGCTCTCTAGTCAATCAGCACTTTGTGGAAATGGCTTGATGAGCTTACACGTACAACGCTGTAAACAGAAGTCTCAGGCTTCAGTTCTTCTTGTTGGTGGTGTTTTGTTGTTGTTTTCCAAGACAGGGTTTCTCTGTGTAGCCCTTGCTGTCCTGGAACTCATTCTGTAGACCAGGCTGGCCTCCAACTCAGAGATCCACCTGCCTCTGCCTCACAAGTGCTGTGATTAAAGGTGTGTGCCACCACCGCCTGCCTGGCTTTAGGTATTTTATCTTTGTTTTTAACCAAAATATTTCAGTTTAGCAGACCTTTTTGTCTTTGCATATTATAGGTTTTTTTTTTGTTTGCTATTTTTTAAAAAATAAAATTGTACATACACAAAAGCATAAAACTTCGCTTTGATGTCACTAAAGTTTCCTTAAAGAATGACCTATGAGCTGAGTGTGATGGTGTAGCACGAATCTTAGAAGGTCTTTTTAATAAAAACAAACCTGGAGCCAGGTATGGGGTGAATGCTGAAAGAGCAGAGAAACAGAACAAGCCACAGCTTCCTCACCTCACCAGTTCCTCAGCTGATCATGTTTCCTCAGACTGGAAGCCTCTGAGTCCTTATCCAAATGGATCTCAACTGAACTGCTCTTGAAAGCCTGAAAGCTTAACAAGGGCTCTAGTTCCTGGTCCTCATGCCTTATATACCTTTCTGCTTCCTGCCATCACTTCCTGGGATTAAAGGTGCGAGTCACCATGCCTGGCTGTTTCCAGTGTGGCTTTGAACTCACAGAGATCCAGGTGAATCTCTGCCTCCCAAGTGATAGGATTAAAGGTGTGAGTGCCACCATTTTCTGGCCTCTATGTCTGTCTAGTGGCTGTTCTGTTCTCTGACTCCAGATAAGTTTATTAAGGTGCACAATATCTTGGGGAACACAATATCACCACATGATGGCACACACCTTTCCTACCTGCCCTAGGGAAGCAGAGGCAGGTGGACCTTTGAGTTTGAGGCCAGCCTGGTGTACAGAATGAGTTCCAGGACAGCCAGGGCTACATACACAGAGAAACTCTGCCTCAAAAACCCAAAAAGAAAAAGAAAAGAAAAAAAAGAAAAGAATAACCTGTGTGTTTTAGTTTTATTAGATGCCCAAAAAGGCACAGTACAGATGTGTGGGGTTTTGATGATATGTACATAGTTGCACTGCAAAATAAAAATTCTTCAGTTAAGCTTAGTACAAGCTGTTCTGAGTGAGTATCGATGTTTTATAATGTTCTTGTTTGTGTGTCTCAGAGAATTAAGTTACAGGTTGGTAACAATAAGGAAAAAGTTTCACAGTAAGCAGAGAGAAAAAAAGACCTCCCAATTTTGGTATCCAGGGCTGGAGCCTCCTTATTTCCTGGAGTGTGTTGGGCTTTGGGAGAGAGAAACATCATGGTGGACACTCTGGAATGATGAACATGAAATGTGTTTCACCCATAAATCTAGAAAAATTAAAAAATCTTAATAAGTGATTGTCATCATGTTAGTAGAATAGACAAAGACTGAAGCCCTAAATGCACAGAAAGAGGAAGCATCCTATCAGTGGGCAATAAATGTGAAGCACGTGATCTGGTAGGATGAAATGTAAATGTTTTGTTCCATCTTCTTCTGCAGATGGCTGCATATTTCGGATTTTCCGTAGCTGCCACTGACATTAATGGGGATGAGTAAGTTTTTAAAAAATGTTTCCAGAAACTGTTTTCCTCTGTGTTTATAAATGCTTGACTAAAACTAAACAGTGTTTCTTCTGTTTCTTTGTCTGCTCCCTGTTAATCCTCTGTCACTCTAAGAAAGGAATTTGACACTCCCTAATCATGACTGTGGGGAAGCCTCCTAGTTGGTCCTAAGCTTTAAAATGGCTCTACAACAGTGGTTCTCCACCTTCCTAATACCGTGGCCCTTTAGTGCAGTTCCACAAGTTGTGGTGACTCCCCGACCATACAGTTATTTCATGGCTGCTTCAGAACTGCAATTTTGCTACTGTTATGAATCGTAATGTAAATATGGGCAGGATATTTGATATCTTGCACCCACAGGTTGAGAACCGCTGTCTTAAAGCATGACACTCTGATTCTATGCGTGATCTGCAATGCTTCAATGTTGCCATAAGAGGCTTGCCGGGCAGTGGGAAATGGAGTTTTAGTAAGAATGTGCTGATGGGGGGCTGGAAAGACTGCTCAGTGGGTAAGAACACTGGCTTGTCTTGCGGAGGGCTTGAGTTTGAGTCACAGCACTCACATGGTGGCTCATAACCATCTTAATTCCAGTTCTAGGGATCCAGTGCCCCTTTCTGGCATCTGAGGGCAGCAGGCACACACAGACATACATGCAGGCACAACACCCATACACATAAAATAGAAAATTAAGAGAAATGCGGTTAGATGGAGTTTGATCTTGTGTGTGAGGACATTCTCTTTTTTCAGTTATGCAGATGTGTTTATTGGAGCGCCTCTGTTCATGGACCGAGGCTCTGATGGAAAACTCCAAGAGGTGGGCCAGGTCTCAGTGTCTCTGCAGAGAGCATCGGGAGACTTCCAGACTACAAAGCTGAATGGATTTGAGGTTTTTGCCAGATTTGGAAGTGCCATAGCTCCTCTGGGAGACCTGGACCAGGATGGTTTCAATGGTAAGATCAAAGTGATTTTCTGTGTCACCTGAAGAAGTCCGAAAATGCCATCTATAGAAGCTCTTATGAGCAAACCCCCACCCCACCCCACCCCGCCCAAGGCGAGCACATCACTGACACCAAACTTAAAAACAGGTTTGGTTTTTTTTTTTCTGAAAAATGAGCCAACATTTTCAAAACTTGACTTTCATGAGCTAGAATGTCAAATGATTAAATTCTGAAGGGAACCTTCGTTTCCGGGGAGCCCTCTGCATCCCGCTGCATGGCAGCGCCCTCTGCTGTCCGTTGGGCTCCAAGTGAAAAAATAGCCCCCAGGCTCCTTGTCAAAGCAATGCTGACCCAACGCCAGCCTCAGGTATGAGTTTCCACTGATGTTTTTATAGCCGTAGCTTTATAGTGGCCGTGAAACCTCCGAGAGAGGTTGCATGCTTTTTCATGGGCGCCTGTAAAAGGCTTAAGCCCACTGTTTTATAGTAGTCCCATTTGAATAGTTACAGATCCCTTTAAAAACAAAAGCTGGCTTTTACTACACAGCTCTTTTCCAGAACCTGAAACACAGATTAAAAATTAGATCTGTGAAATATAGATTACAAGGTTTTTTTTTTGTAAAAGAGTAGTAAAGAGAGAATTGTTGATTTGTTTGTTTTATCAGCTATATATATATATATGAGTACGCCCCCCCACATGTAATAGAAAGTTATTAAGAAGGAAACTTGAGAAATTCAATAGTACAGATGTCACTGACCATCTAGTGGAAAGGAAACGCCTCCACTCCGGCCTTGAGGACAGTTGCCTGTCATACACCAGCCTGAATAACCGTAGAGGATTTCAGGGTTAGTGAACACCCAGCCCAAGTTATAGTTTGCTTCCTAAAGTCGTCTTAGCTCTTTGTTTTCCATCAAAGAACATAGCAGCAACTGTAGACGGTCGCTCACGCCAGGAGGTGGAAAGACGGCAGTCAGCCAGGCCGGATCATTACTTGGTGATAACAGAACCTTGAGATAGGAAGGAAAACTGTTCCCATTTTCTACCTTGTGGGTCCCTTGCATTGTCACTGGGTCTGTGGAACAGCTAAGACACGTGTGTCGCTTTGTCCCAAAGGTATTCCAGTCACTTTAAAGACATTTCCCGGGTATTGCCATCCTACTTTTCATATTTTTATTATGTTATTTGGCGGCAACATGTGTAAACAACAGCAAAAACCTTTGAGTTTTATAAAGTTTTCTTTGGTCTGTCCTGGAACTCACTCTGTAGACTAAGCTGGCCCCAAACTCAGAGACACCCACCTGCCTCTCCCTTAGTGCTGGGATTAAAAGTGTGCACCACCACTGCTCCGTTTATAAAGATTTTTTTCATAAAGAAGTTTTAGATAAGTTTGGAGATAAATACCTCAGAAGTGTTGAAGGTCTGTAAGAAACTGTGAATGGTAACGTCTCTAGTGGAAGATTTGCTGAGGTATGTTTATGTAAATATGCTCAGAGGTGCTGTTAGCTAACTCCAATCTGATTTTGTTCAGATCTGAGTGCCGCTGTTTCAGTCCCCCAAGTCCCAACAAAAAGAAAACTTAGATGTCATCAGAAGGTGAATTAGTTACTTGCTGCTGTTACCTGATGTGCAGCAGCGTAAGAGAGGAAGCATTTACTCTGGCTCCCAGTGTGAGGGGATGCAGTCCCTCATGACACGGAGAGGCATAAAGGGCCTGGTCTCGTTGTGCCTACAGGAAAAAGCAGAGAACAGACAGGAAGGGAGGCCAGATGACAAGACCCAAAGGCCTGCTCTCTCTCCCTGCAACAGTAATCCACTCCCTCCAGCGAGGGTCGACCTCTGTGGTGTTCCACAGCCTTCCAGAACAGCATCATTACCTGGAGACCAGTGTTCAAACCCATGAGCCGGTGGGGGACAGGACACTTCACATTCAAACCGTAACGAAATGATATGGAAAACAAAACAACTAACTAGTCTAGTTTTTGTCATTATTGCCCAGCAAAATGAAGCGGAGCAGAGGCAATGAGGTGACACCTAGAAGGGACAGCCGAAGCAATCAGAGGAGGAAGTGACTTCATGACCATGCCACCGGTCCAGACAGGCAGCCTGGAGGGAAGACGTACACAGAGTGCGGAAGGGTTTAGAAGAGACAGTTTATATCAAACAGATTAGAGCCATCTTTTGCTGGGAAATTACTAATTAATATATTATTATTATTATTATTATTATTATTATTATTAAGAGATTTTCTATTCATTTTACATACCAACCACAGATTCCCCTCACCAGCCCCCACCCCAGCCGTCCTCCCCAACTCCACCCTCCATTCCCACCTCCTCCAAGGCAAGGTCTCCTCTGGGGAGTCAGCAGAACCAGGTACATTCAGTTGAGGCAGGTCCAAGCCCCTCTTCCCTGCACCAAGACTGCACAAAGTGTCCCACCATAGGCACTGGGCCCCAAAAAGCCAGCTCATGCCCCAAGGGTGGGTCCCAATCCCACTGCCTAGGGGCCTCCTAAACAGTTCAAGCTAAACGACTGTTTTACCTAATCCAGTCCCATGGGGGCTCCTCAGCTATTGGTCCACAGTTCATGCATTTCCACTAGTTTGGCTAGCCGTAAAAGAAGATTGACTAATTAATATTTTTACTGCAAATGTCAATTTGAAGTTATCCTTTAAAACTTGGAAGGAAGCCGGGCGGTGGTGGCGCACGCCTTTAATCCCAGCACTCGGGAGGCAGAGCCAGGCGGATCTCTGTGAGTTCGAGGCCAGCCTGGGCTACCAAGTGAGTTCCAGGAAAGGCGCAAAGCTACACAGAGAAACCCTGTCTCGAAAAACCAAAAAAAAAAAAAAACTTGGAAGGAGTTAAAAGGACTATTTATACAACGTAAGTAATCATTTCTAAAGAATGATATATTCTTAGGGCTTATAGATACCAGATAGTCTTTTAAGTGCTGAAAATCAGAGGTAAATCAAGACTGGGTGTGGTAGGGCACACCTTTAATTCAAGTGCTGTGGAGGCAGAGGCAGGCAGATCTCTATGAGTTTGAAGCTAGCCTGGTCTACGTAGCATGTTCCAAGTCAGTCAAAGCTGCATAGTGAGATCCTGTCCCAAGCAAAACAAAACACCAAGAAACAAAGAGGGTAGTCACCTACACACATTCTTAGCCAGGCAGTGGTGGCACACCTTTAATCCCAGTACTGGGGAGGCAAAAACAGGTGGATCTCTGAATTTGAGGCCAGCCCGGTCTATAGAGCAAGTTCTACATAGAGAAACCCTGTCTCCAAGAAAAACAAACAGACAAACAAACAAGAGAAGAAGGTAATCACCCACACACATTCTTAAGGAACCCAGCATGCAATAGAGTGTGTATATGTCAGAAATACTTTTTTAAAGGCCACTAGAATATGATTCCCATGGTGCTTGAGATACTCCCAGGCATGGTGGTCTCACACAAAGAATGAGCAATCCAGACATGTTTGGAATCTCAGGAGATGTCACTGAGGAGGAATAAGGTGGTTTAGTACAGTAAGGATATCAAAGCAGTTTGGTGTGGCTGGTACAGGGTGGCCTTTAGAAGCCACAGAGACATCCATGTCTAGGCTGGTAGCATCAGAGAAAAAAGAAATTGGTGTATTACATTCATTTTCAAGCTAAGAGGGCCACCGGGACCATTTAGTAACATTTAGGGTTGTTTTAAAGAATTAAACGTTTTACATGCTTATCTTGTTTCAGTATAAATGGAACAAAATCAAGAAGTCAGAACTTTGAAATTTATGAACCAGATTTTAATTTTGTAAAATAAAGCTCATGCATGAATTAGAAGGAGGACCAGAGTGAATTTTAGATGAGGATTTTCATGTATCCTCATCCCATCTGTAATTTAAGATGAAGCATTTTAGGTCCAGAAAACTGAAGTCTCTTTCTTGTCCAAGGTCAGACCCAGAAAAAACATCTGCCTCCAAATTAATGTCATTTTGCACAGTTTTCCTTGGATCTCTTTGAATTAGAATGTCACTTTTTGTTTTGTTATCTGTTGTTTTGAGAGTCTCACTGTGTAGCCCAGGCTGACCTTGAACTCAGAATCTTCCTGTGTTAGTCCTTTGAGTGTTGGGATTATAAGCCCGTGACCCTGTGACAGCCTAGACTGTTACTCTGCAGAACTTGAAATCATCAGTTATTGTAACTGATGGGTTGTATGACTAGTATTAGCACTGAGAATCTCTTCTGGCCATCCTCGCCCACTTTTCTAATTCCCCATTCCTCCTCTTCTGTCATTCATCGCCTCCACCCTGCCCCCTTTGTCCACAGATATTGCGATTGCTGCTCCCTATGGTGGTGAAGATAAAAAGGGACTTGTTTATATCTTCAATGGGAGATCAACAGGCCTGAATTCGGTGCCATCTCAGGTCCTCGAGGGGCAGTGGGCTGCTCAGAGCATGCCCCCAAGCTTTGGCTATTCCATGAAAGGAGCTACAGATGTAGACAGAAATGGATATCCAGGTACTTTCCCACAAATACACGTGGCTCTTGGCTTTTTCATTCCAACAGTATTAGTTATTATGTTCTTGATGTCATTCCATCTAATGTTTAAATGCTGATGAAGACTTTACTATCATCGTCAACAGGGACAGGAAGAAAACACAGCCATATTTGATGGGAGTATACAATATGAACATACACTTTTTATTTATTGTCCTAAAGCTTATAGTAAAGTATCAGAAAAAAAATTATAGAAGCGATAAACAAAAGCCAAATGTCCATTCCAAGTTTTGAAAGTGGCATCCATTGATGCTTTTAATGAGCTAGTATTTTTATGGACTGGTGCAATGACTGGTGTGTGTGTGTGCTCCTGCATGCGTGCACGCACATGTATGAGTGCACCTGTGTGTGGAGGCCAGAGATTGTATCTAGTGTTTCCTTTGTCACTTTGTATCTTGAGACAGAGTCCATTACTGGAGCTCATAAATTTGGCTGAGCTGGTTGAGAAAGTCCTAGGGATCCTCCTGTCCCCACCCCCTCCCCTCCCCCATGCTAGGATTACAGATGCATATAGCACCATACCTGGGGGATACAAACTTACTTTACTCCTGGAGCCACCAGCCCAGCCTGGACCAATCACTCTGATTTAAAAAGAAAACAAAACAAAAAACAAAAAAAGTACCATTTCATTGAATATTCTCAATTACAATTGTGTTGAGATGTAAGTTAAATTAGGTAACACACACAAAAATAAAACAAAAACAAAACAAAACCAAAAAATTAGGTCACAATAAGGCCATTTGGTGGATGTGAAAAGTAACTGAAAAAAGGTAACTCGCCCAAGATTTTCCACTGGGTTAATCTGCGGAGTAAGACCATCAGTTTAGATTTTTACACCCTTTGAGTATTATAATGGATCCAGAATCAAATAGATCCTTTTCTTTACATGAAATAAAATTTAGAAAACCCAGATGACCTTTGTTGTTGAAATAGCTAATCCGGATTCTATGTATAAACTCAGTGACATACTTATGAGTACAATATGTGCATTACAAAGCTTAGTATAGCAAAGTATATCTTTCCATTTTCCCTCTGATGCATCTATACTTGGTGATTGTTTGAGGCAGGGTTTTGTTGTGTACTCCAGGCTGTCCTGGAACCCACAATCCTCCTGCCTTTGTCCTTTGAGTGGCTAGGATTACAGGTGTGCAACATCCCTTACAGGTGTGTGAGCATCCCTTCATTCACATGTATGAACACCCACACACATATATATGTACACATATATATGTATACATATATATGTATTATATATACATATATATATATATGAGTATATAATACATGGGTTTTTGTTGCTTTATGTGCATGGGTGTTTGGCCTGCATATATGTTTGTGCATCATGTGTGTTCAGTGCCTGCAGAGGGCAGAATAGGGTGTCAGATCCCCTGGAACTGGAGTTACCGACAGTTGTGAGCCACCCTGTGGGTGCTGTGAACTGAACCTGGATCTGCAGGAAGAGCAGCCAGTGCTCTTTAGTGTGGAGTCGTTTCTCTAGTCTCATATGTTTTTCTTTTTGTTTTTTTAATAAAAAAAAAGCATTATGCTTTATATGCTGTTCATTGTATATTCCTTTAAAATTTTAGGAACATTTATTCTAAAACATGTATTTCATGTTTCCCATTCTAATAAATAATTGTGTAGTATTTTATTTTACCTTATATTTTGGAATTTTTGTCTGTGTGTATAATTTTGTTGTATGCCCCTAAAAATTTCCTTAGGACACAATTCTGTATTTGTTATTTCAGCAGCATGCTGTTTGTATGTGTGTGTGCACATGCATGTGTGTGCACTGTGGTAGGGCTTGTTTGTGTGTGTGGCTGAGGACATATGAGGAGAGTAGAGAATGTCTGTGGAGGTCAGAGTATAACCTTCTGGTTGATTCTTGCCTTTCCACCTTATTTGAGACAGGGTCTGTATGCTGCAGCATAGGTTGCCTGGAAGCTTCCAATTCTCCCATCTCCTAGTAGGGACATGCTAGGACTAGAGATTTGTACTATGTCCTGCTTTTCCCTGGGTTCTGACAATCTGAATTCAGGTCATCAGGTTTTCTTGGCAAACACTTTTTCCCAGTGAACTGTCTCCCCAGCCCCTAGAAGCATGCACTTTTTGAAGCCATTAATATACATTGCCAATTTTCAGTTTTATTTCCTCCACAAAATGGCTTTTGCCAACTTTTTAAACACCCAATAGCAATGAACAAGTGCTTAGTTTCTCACACTTGTTATTTTATAATAGTTTTGTCTATATAATAGGTGAGTAATAATTTCAGTGGCTAGTTTTTGGAGATTAGTGAAGATAAGTATTTTTTTTTTTTGGTTTTTCGAGACAGGGTTTCTCTGTGTAGCTTTGCGCCTTTCCTGGAACTCGCTTTGGAGACCAGGCTGGCCTCGAACTCACAGAGATCCGCCTGGCTCTGCCTCCCGAGTGCTGGGATTAAAGGCGTGCGCCACCACCGCCCGGCTGAGGATAAGTATTTTTGTATATTGTATATTCACTTTTATAAATACTTAAAATACCTTTATCTTCATTTGAAGTATTTTTTTCCTTTTCATTCATTTTTTAAAACCTGTCCAGTGCCTCAAATATTGAGATACTATCTTCTTAATTCTTGTACTTATTTCACAGTTTCTCATATTTGCATCGAAGGTATACAGAAATTTTAGATTTTCATGAAATCCAATCTATCTTTATATTTTCTTATATTTTTCTGTGTTGAGAGAGCCTCCTCAAATTTAGCTTGAGTAGAATGTGGGATAGAGCTCTGATTTAATTTTATCCAAATTGTGAGCCAGTTTTACATAAGAACAAGTGCATTTTGTCCTTGCTGCTTTGAATCCCATCGACTCTCATATACAGAATGTTTGTTTGTTTGTTTGTCTGGGGTTTGGTTTTGAAACAAGAGAGAAAGAAAAAAGTAATTTCCTAATGAAGTTACAAACTGCACATGCATCTGTAAAGCTGTCTTTTGGGGGGGGTGTATTTGGGCACAGATGCTTCCTTACTGTTGTTCTTTTTACTAAATTCTTATTAAAAAGATTATTTTTTTAGCTGTTTATTTTTTCTTATTATGTGTATGGGTGTTTGCCTACTTGTATGCCCATGTACTATGTGTGTGCAGTGCCCACAGAGGCTGAAAAAGTACACAAGATGGAGTTCACCAGTGTGCCTAGAACTGGAGTTACAGAGGTTGTGAGCCACCATGTGGGTGCTGGGAATCGAACCTTTGTACTCTGGAATCAAACCCTGGGCCTCTGGAAGAGCAACCAGTGCTCTGAAGCACTGAGCCACCTCTCTAGCCCTTAGAAATACTCTTGTCTACCCAAATGAGAGTCTAGTTGATGGTGATAGTTTACTCACCATTTTGAAATAGTTTTGCCTTGTCCATTTCATCTTAAAATTTCCTGGCTTTGAGAATAAAACCTAGAAACATGAAGCATGTCATAGAATAATGCATATTTTAAAAACCATTTTTATAATTAACATGTTTTTTATTCTCTCAAGACTTAGTTGTAGGAGCTTTTGGTGTGGATCGAGCTATCTTATACAGGTATGTATGGTATTCTTTAATACAGGAATATTCTGAATTATTTGAAAAAGATTAGTTAAGTGCTTGTTTTTGAATTTCAGTTTGATTTCTTAAAGTAGTAACATTATTTGTTCTATTCAGGATTTGCTACAAATAGTATATATTCAAGGAAGTCTCAAAGAACAGAGATCTGTAGTTTTAAAAAATATTTTTAGAAAAATATTCAGAAGTTCCCTTCATTAGCTTTTAAATTTTGTTTGGAGACATTCTTCTGCATTTTCAGTCAGTCATCAAAAATGTGTGAGTAGTAGCTGGGAGTGACCTTGCCTGTATACTGGCCTCTATTCCTAGACTCCCACAAAAATGAATTGAAGATGATAGAGGTTTTCATTTTCCTAGAAGAGGTACTTGTGCCTCAGTTATATGACCATAAAGGTGGTATGTCGTAAATATCAAACTCATTTATTTAAACTAGAGCCTAGTGTATAAATTCTCATTCCTCAGCTGTACCCATGCTCTCAGTTCTGGATGTCATCACTTTCTCTGCCTCAGAACACCAGCTGGCCTCTTAAGTAGGTTGAGGTTCCTGCACTGTTATGGGCTGAACTTGGCAAGAGCGTTGTTACCACGGGAGCTGTGTAAGGCACTGCGATCCATCAACTCCTTCATAGCCGTGGAGAACATAAACTTTCAGATTTCTAGACTTTATCATTTGAAGCAGCTTCTTTGACGTGATCCCACTGGTTTTTAATATAATTCTTAGAGTTGTGCATCTGAATTTTGCAAAACCATGTTTACAGGTTGAATATCTTTTTATTTGAAATGCTTTGAGACCAGAAGTGTCTCAGATTTTGTAGCTGTATGGGTTTTCAAGTATTTGTAGAGACTTGTCAGTTAGGCATGTTTAATCTAAAAATCCAAAACTTGAAATAGTCCAAAACATTTTTGAGCATCTTGTTGGTACTCAAAATTTTGAAAGTCCATCGCATTCCAGTTAGAATATTTTAGGCTATAGGAATACTCACTGTATATTTTAGTTAAAAAGTATTGTTAATAAAGAAACACCCCCATGAGGTAAATATTCAAATAATTGAGAAGGTGAACATGGGCAGGAGAGATGGCTTAGCAGATAAGAGCACTGACTGCTCTTTGAGAGGACCCTGGTTTAATACCCAGCACCCACACAGCAGCTCACAACTGTCTGTAACTCCTGTTCCAGGGGATCTGACACCCTCATACAGACATACATGCAGGCAAAATACCAGTGTACATAAGATATAAATAAATAAATTATTTAAACATTGCAGTTAGGAGCATATACCCAAGTTCAGTTCTTAGCACCCAAGTCAGGCAGCTCACAGTGGCCTGTGACTCCATCTCCATGGGATCTGATGTCCTTTTGTGGCCCCTGCATGCACTTGCGCTCACCCCCACCCCATACACATAATTAAAATAATCAAAACAAGCCGGGCGGTGGTGGCGCACGCCTTTAATCCCAGCACTCGGGAGGCAGAGCCAGGCGGATCTCTGTGAGTTCGAGGCCAGCCCAGGCTACCAAGTGAGTCCCAGGAAAGGCGCAAAGCTACACAGAGAAACCCTGTCTCGAAAAACCAAAAAAAAAAAAAAAAAAAAATCAAAACAAGTATTTAAAACGAGCATACAGTAAACATCTGTATGCTATACCGTAAATACTCTACTCATTAAGAAGTCACATGTTTTCCTTTGTGTGTGATCTGTGGGCATTCTGCCTGCATTTCAGGATCTTTTATCCTTTCCTCTTCACATGCCTGCCAGCACAGGTGGGTTTCCGGCACTCACATTCCTCATGTGTCCCCTCTGATCAGTCAGATGCCCTACAGCTAGTAACAGTTGTGCTTTATTGTGTTGAATTCAGATAGGCCGACCAGTTGTCTCACTTGCCTGGCATTGAGCAATTGCCAAGATGCAGGGCTGAATCAGGTCCGTTGTGGGTAAAATAAGACTGTCGGTCATCTTACGTTTCCATCTAGGCTAGCGCGCAATTGTTGCTGTTACTACTTCCAACTGTAGTTAGTGGCCATTGAAATGCAACTGTGGTGAGTGAGAATTTAATCAATCGATTTTTAAATAACATTTTCTCTCTTTTTCTTTTTCTTTTTTAAATTTAAAACCAGAGCCAGACCCGTTGTCACCGTAAATGCTGGCCTTGAAGTATACCCAAGCATTTTAAATCAAGACAATAAAATCTGCCCGTTGCCTGGGACAGCTCTCAAAGTTTCCTGGTAAGGATCTTTGGTAAGGACTAGTTGTGATTAAGATTAACAGCTGAGTCACTGTAGCGGCAACAGAGAGTTAGGTGGCGGGGCTGAAATACCACTGAGGCAGCTTCTGTGAATGCAGTCTGTGTCCATGCCAGATTAGATCAGAGAAAGTCAAGTTTCAGGAAAGCTATCTAGGAGGTCCCAGACACTTAATACATAAATAAATAAATAGAAGATACTAAGACGTGAAAGAAGATGAAAGTTTTTTTTGTGGCTCAGACTCTGTACCATCAGGTTTCTGCACCTGTATTTGTCAGTTCATCCAATTATGGATAGAAATAGCCAATAAAAAACTGTCTGTTCTGGATATGGGCAGACTTTTTTCTTGTCATTCCTTAAAGATGCAATATGGCAGGTATTCACGTAGGATTTACATTGTATTAAGTATTAAACTACTGTGGGGGTGAAGTCAGCTGTATGCAGACACAACACCGTTTTTTATCAGAGCCCTCAGTATCCACTGATTTTGGTCTCTGGGAGTGGACGGTTGGTTCCTAGAACTACCTTCCACCACCCCAGATACCAAGAAGTGGCTACATTAGAAAAGTGAATTTGGGTGGTATTCAATATTATACCTAAACTAGACTATAGAATTTACATTTGAAAACATTTTTTCTTGCAGTTTTAACGTCAGGTTCTGCTTAAAGGCGGATGGCAAAGGAACTCTTCCAAAGAGGCTGAGTGAGTATCTTGTGCAGAATCAGTGGGCTCGGGGTTCTGCAGGTACAGTGCTTATGTTACACACAATCAGGGCACACAACCAGTTACTCAAGTAGTTGTTATCATTTTCATCTGCACTTTTATGCTGAAGACATTAGGGTGCATAATTATATATCATTACTTTCTTAGGCAGCTCGCGGACCCATTCCGATGTAGTATATTTGTTGCTGGACATTATGAGCATGAGAATGGTAAATAGGCAGCATTTAGAATGTTGAGTGGTTAATGATGTGAGGTAAAGAGGTCTGGGGAGATGTCATTGTTCATGAGTCCCTGCTCTGCTGAGAACTGGGGGAGGCTTTAGCCTTTCTTAGAAAGGGTGAAAAGTTTGTGCGGCTACATTTAGTCTGTGGAGCCGACACCATTCCTTCTTTGCTGCAGTGATTGATGGGGTCCTGAGGGCAAGCTTTGCCAGCTGAGTGGATAGTGACTTCTGCTAGTGAGTAGGGATAGGGTGGAGAAGAGTGCCAAGAGAGCTGGCCGCTCTCAGTGTGAATGTGCAGAGGATGGCGAGCAGAACCTCACTGGAAGACCAGCCTTGTGTAGAGACCTCAAGGAAATGAGAGAGCAGGGGGATGCCCAGGACTGTTTCACACCTGGAAATGTCCCTGAGAAGCCTGTGGTGGAGTGAACCCACTGTGTTTGAAAAGCCGCCAGGGTAGGGCAGAGCAGCAGTAAGACCAGAGAAGGGACACACCTGCATTCGAAATTAACCTTTAAAGAAATTTACCAAGAGACTAGAGGTTTTAAAAATTTGTGCTATAGAGCCGGGTGGCAGTAGCACACGCCTTTAATCCCAGCACTCAGGAGGCAGAGGCAGACAGATCTCTGTGAGTTCGAGGCCAGCCTGGTTTACACAGTGAGTTCCAGGACATCCAGAGCTTTTTCCACAGAGAAACTTTGTCTTTAAAAAAAAAAAAGGAAAAAAGAAAAAGAAAAGAAACTGCTTAAAGAAATAAGTGTTAGAAGGCAGTAATTATAACAATTGCCCGTGTATTAATTTTAAATGATTCTTAACCTATTAGGCTTTCTTTAGTCACATGTTGCAGGAAGGACATACTCAGTTGTCACTTTCAGGGGCAGCTTCGTTGGAAATGCTGTTTCAAATGATATAAACTATTCATAGTACGCAATATAATGATTGGATGCACACCAATCAATACTGCTTATCAAAATCAGCAAGACACTTGGATTAATAGTAGAAGTTGTGTGTGTGGTGTGTGCCCATGTGTATTGTGAGGGGGGTGGAACCCAGGGTCTCACACACTCTACTACCAATCTGCACTGCTCATCCAGTGGTAGAAGTCTCAATTTACTTCTATTTCATTCCGTGATGTCCTTCCCTTCGCTTAAATTAAAAGTCATTTTTCTTTTCCTTCTGATAACCTGGTTTCATTACCGTCACTGTAATTATGTATGGCACTTTTGGGGGACGAGTGAATTATTTAGTTATTATTTTCTGGAATTAATGTGTTGCTGTCTCACCACAATGCTCAGGCATGTAATGAATGTAGAAGTAAGTTACTTTTCAGAAATGAGTTTTCCAGGAGACCTCTAGATTGCTAGGGCAGTGACTTGCCCCCAAGGAATGTGTTGGTTATAAATGCTTTGGTTTGTGTAGACTTCCAGGTGGAGCTTCTTTTGGATAAACTGAAGCAAAAGGGAGCAATCCGACGAGCACTGTTTCTCCATAACAGGTCCCCAGGGCACTCCAAGAACATGACTGTTTTCAAGGGGGGACAGATGCAGTGCGAGGAGCTGGTTGCCTATCTGCGGGTAAGAAGCACTCTGCACCGTTACCTTTTCCTGTTTATTTCTCTTTCCCGTGGACGATTTTTCTCTTCTGTCAATCAGCTTTTCCACCGTCAAAGCTCAGTGGAGATAGTTCATCCCTGTCAGATGGGTGATTGAGGAGGCCTTCCACTACGGTATGACTGAATGAGTCGTGAGAAAACTTACTTCTTAAATGTTGCTGGACGCTCAAGTGTCCAGAGAGTAAGCAGTCCGCTCAAAGTCTGCCCAGTGGCTAAATTTGAAATCTGAGTTGTGAACCACTGTGGGAGTCTAGTGTGAGGCAAGAGGTGGAGTCCGAGGCAGGGATGGTTTTGACTGTAGACATCAACCAGGGATTGAGATTTACCTGGGACCTTCTGCAGTTGGAGACTTGATTGAGCCTTGCCTGACACAGAAGGGTCCTGGCACAGAGGTACATCCTGACTCCAGCATGAAGAAGTCCAGTTTGGGAACCTGGTGACATGGAATCAAGCAGGAATCTTAGTCACTTAGTTGACTTAGTCACTCATTTGCTTTTGCATGTTTATTGATGGTGTGTGATGGTTTTACTTGCGTGTGTGTGCGTGTGCCCTGTGTGTGCCTGGTGCCTGTGGAAGCACCAAATCCTCTGGAACTGTAGTTACATACACCTGTGAGCTGCCATGTGGGTACTGGGAACTGAACAGGTGGGTACTGGGCCTTCTTTAGGGGCAGCAAGTGCTCTTTCATGAGCCATTTCTCCAGCTTCATAAGATTCATTTTAGAAAAAGAAAAACAACCAAAACCCCCTCACATTTCATGGTCAGAAAGCAAAGAGAGAAGCAGCAGCCAGCTTCCTGCAATCCCTTCAAAGGCATACCCTAAATAGTAAGACCTTCTACTAGGCTTTAAAAAATTTGATGTGTATGGGTGTTTTGCCTCCATGTGTGACTGTGTACCATGTACATGTCTGGTGCCCATAGTGGTCAGAGGGGGCATCAGATCCCTGGAACTGGAGTTACAGATGACTGTGGATTGCCATGTGGGTGCTGGGAATTGAACCGAGGTCCTCTGGAGAGCAGCCAGTGCTCTTAACCGCCGAGCCATCTCTTCAGCCCCCTAGGCTTACTCCTGAAAACTTCTGTGATCTCCCAATATCACCAAGCCTTTACCACATAGACCTGTGGTGGATACTTAAGATCCAAACCACTTTAGAAATCAGTAATAGAAAAGTAAGTTGAAAAGTGATTTTCTGAAAAAACACCAGAAATGTGATTTTAGGTGAAAGTGATGATAATGGAGATTTATATATACCTAATTATCATGAAAATTCTATACATCACAATGGACTATCATGGAAGTAGAATATAGGGGAAATGTATGTGTACTTTAAATGTTATTTAATTTACATGAAATGTTTGACAAATTTGAAAAAATGAACAAATACCTTCAAATAAAATTTGAAATTGAAAAGGGACATAATGATAGATAAAATTGAGACTTAAATTACAGAATTTCTTGAATAATTATGTACCAACATAAAGGAAAACTTGGATTAAAAAAAGAAAAATTCTTAGACACGTATAACATGCCTGCCATAAGAATAGCTGTAGGATCACTCATATCTTTATATGATATATATTCATTATATATAATGTTTATATGTAATCATTATATGATTTATACTCATATCTTTATATGAGTGATCCTATTGCTATTTTAAAAATGGAGCTTTCATTGTAAGTCGTTTTGGGGTTTTGTTTGTTTTTGAGACAGTGTCCTCTGTCATCTAGGTTGGCCTTGAACTTAACTTTGTAGCTGAGGATGACCTTGAATTTATGATCCTCCTGTCTCCACATCCCAAATGCCCATAAAAAAATCTTTACACAAAGAAACATAAGGCCTTGATGACTTTTTTATGCAATACTCCAAGAATGAGCCATTTCTGATAGTAAACACACTTCAAGAGAAAAGCTGGAAATTTTCTAATGTTCTCTGAAGCTTTACATATGTCAGGCTACCAAGTCAATAAGTAGACCAAAATGAATTCATTCTAGGGTGAACTAACACTAAGAATTTAAAGGGAGAATTTTCTTTTCTTTCTTTTTTTTTTTTTTTTTCGAGACAGGGTTTCTCTGTGTAGCTTTGTGCCTCTCCTGGAACTCACTTGGTAGCCCAGGCTGGCCTCGAACTCACAGAGATCCGCCTGGCTCTGCCTCCCGAGTGCTGGGATTAAAGGCATGCGCCACTACTGCCCGGTAAAAGGAGAACTTTCTACATGAATAAAGAAAGAAAAAAACCTGACCATCTTCCTTAGCTGCAGACTTAAGAGACAGGAGAGGCAAGCATCTAAGTCATGAATGTGAACAAATCCAAATTTAAATTAACTGAATCTGCCAGTGTTTGTTACTAGTCAGGGTGTGATGGATAGAAATTCATTCATTGCTGGTGACCCTTTAGTTGTTATGAAGTTTTGGGAAAATAAATAGTATAGTAACACAGAACTGGTGAGTGTTGCCACTATTTATAAGAATCACCATTGCAACAATTTTTTGTAATAACAAAACCAAATCCAAATAACACAAGTAGTCTTAGACAGAAGAATTGATAAATTGTCATAAGATAACACATTAACTTGAAATGAAGATTAATCTTGAATATATGGATGAAGCTCAAAGTGTTAAGAAAACGATTATGTATGAACTCATTTCCAGTTGGCCAAAAGAAAAAAAAATGAAGAATGCACTGCTCTGTGTTTATCAGTGTTTATGCAGTATTTATCAGGTCTATATAAAACATGGCACCAGCAAATCAGATATATAAATATCGACTGACCATTATGAAAGAAGTGACCGTAAAAGATGTAAAGACAAGCTTGAAAACCGTGGTGTCAATAGAGCAAGCAGGGACTGCAAACTGAAATTTCAGCAGCTCTTACGCTGAGAAGGGAAGGTTGAGAGGGAAAGGCAGAAGATGAACAACTTAAACTACTTTAGTGTTCTGTTTCTACGATGGGTAGTTGCCTGGGTGCTGATTTTACCATGTTGACATAAAGTAACAGCTCCATTTAAAAGAAGACAAGAACATCACTTATTCTGGGAATGTGAGTGACCATGGCCTGGAAAGCGCCTCCCCTGGAGCACAGAGTCTAGGCTGCATTGTGTGTGTGTTCTTGCAGACACAGAACAAAGGAGGTTGGTGGGGTCATCAAGTAGGTGAGACAAAGGACAGTATAATATCTTCTGTAGAGTCCAGATGTCATATTTAACAAGGGAGGAAAATCTACAGGATTTAGATCTTTACCTCGTTCTTTGGTTGTTGGAGATGAGAGATCCACCAGGCCCATGAATTCCAGGAGTTAAATCTAGCAATCACAGAAGTAAGTCTGATGCTGAGATTTATAGCTAAGAGTTATTAAAAAGACAAATGATAGCCTCTTTATCTGCAGTGTTACATCTCTCCATAATTGGCAGAGGCCAGCGGTTGGCAGGCTATTATATACGCATGTGGTTTCTCCAGAGAACTTTGGTTGACAATTAACGTGCTTCATAGGTATTTTTGTGAGTCAAATTTTACATTATGAAACAAAACTTGATGAATAGTTCTTACTGAACAACCGTATGAGTTTCTCTTCACGCTTACTACAGTTACCACAGTGTTTTAGAGGTTGTTAGAATTGAAGGTTCGAAGGATGAATTCGGCTGGTTTTGTGGCTTCTCTGGTTGTGGATTCCTCCAAATAGTTTAGGTGGATGTCATCTTTAACTTGAAGCTCTTTTGTCTCAGGATGAATCTGAATTTAGAGACAAACTCACTCCCATCACTATTTTTATGGAGTATCGGTTGGACCACAGAACGGCTGCTGACGATACAGGCTTGCAGCCCATTCTGAACCAGTTCACTCCCGCCAATGTCAGCCGGCAGGTAAAGCACTTCCCAGTTTATTTCTTATCTTGTCCTTTGATCTTTTGTCAAGGTTTTACAGTTTGTGTTCTTAAATATCGTAAGGGATTGTTTTTATAGTGTTGGTAGATGTTTAACTAAAGAAACCAGAGGAGAAATAATCCGAAGAGTTAGGTCTGAGATCTTTAAATCTTTTCAGGCCCTAAACATCTGGGAGGAGGAAGCTGCAGTTGCTAGTTCTTACACACACTGCCAATTTTTGCACTGCGACCAGAGGAAGGCTTTGCCAGTTCTGAACCTGACCTGTTTGGGGAAGGCTCTGCCATTCCTACGGGTCTGAGGCATTGGTCCTCCACACAGCCATGCCCATGTCAAACAATACACATTCGCTCAGGACTCCATCTGCTGTCTACACGTTCCCTCGGGTCTTCCTCGGCTCCCCACAAGCAATTCTTTTCATAAGGCAACACAAAACTTCAGTTTGGTAATTTTGCAAAAACCGTTGCAAAACATCTCTCTTTAAATATTATTATTTCCTGTCTCACCCCTGTGTTTTATTTCCTGTTCATAGGGCTAGGTTAACACTATTCTCTCAGAATTCATTAGTGTGTGTCTAGGTTGTCATATTGTCTTTGACTTCCTTTCTAAAATCTCATGAGCAGCTTTTATTCTGGGGGCATAACTGTAATACGACAATATAGAAAGCAAATTGAAATATTTTTAAAAATTCATTATTTTATATATTTTAACAAACATTTTGTCTTCTTTTGTACCTTGATAATTTATTGTATATGCCATTTTTTTTTTTTTAACTATCCACTGGAACTTGTGAGCAGTTCTATGTTCACAGTTGATGTTTGGGGTGAGTGGATGTTGTACCGATGGTTCATTTAATATGTGAGCATCTCAGTAGGTGTGCTTTAATGTGGTACTTTATTCAGAAATAACTTTTTCCTTGTGTATTATAGTATGCATTTTGATATATGGTCTATGATTTTTTTTTGTAATTTTAGAATTATTTTAGAAATCTTTATCATTATTGTTACTATTTTTTTGAGACTAAGTCTGAAAATAAAATAAACTGAGAATGACTTTGCCTTTATTTCCCTTTTTTTTCCTCATGTTTTTGTTCCATATATCCTACCAAGATCTATCTGTGTCCTTGTATTCTGTCTTTTGAGGTTTTTTTTTTCTTCCCCCACACTCTTCTTTATGGTACATTCCCATGGCCAGATGCAGAAAAAACAAGTTTAGACTTTTTGCTGTTTTCTTCAGACTTATCATTTTACTGCTGTTTTTTTCTTTTTCATTTCTTTCCCAGTGGGTTTGTACATGCTGGGCTTATTTTGACCATTTTCTCCTTACTTGATGTGTGTAGTCAGTTTCTATGATAGTAGCGGAGGCCACTGTCTTAATGAGAAGTTCTTACGAGGATGTTTATTTTGTCCCAGTTCATATAGTTCAGACAGGAGCACAGTTAAAATGAACCCTCATTTCTTGTACTAGATTATATTCCAAAATGTTAACAGCTAATTTGAGATATACAAAATTCTAAGTACTTATATTTCATCATTTTTTTCCTTATTCTTGATTGCCTACACTGACATGTTTAAAGATGAGTGGCCAGAATCCATGTAGAAAATAATAAAATATTTTTCTTTTAGGCTCATATTCTACTTGACTGTGGGGAAGATAATGTCTGTAAACCTAAACTGGAAGTTTCTGTAGATAGGTAAGTTTTACTTCAAACAGTAAATATAAAACATAAGAAATTTAAATGGAAAAGCACACTTTTCTTTTCAAAATGCTAATGTTTTTAAGGAAAAATACTTACAGTAAAGGATAATTTATGATTAGCATATGATAATTCATGATTAGCATTAGTATAAGGCAATTAATACCATAGTTAAAAAAATACCCACTACGCTTTGACTAGGTGCCTGGCTTGGCCAACTTATGACCATTAGCTTTGATTGTACCATGAGTCCTACTAATTGTCTCCATATGATCATTGTGGACATGCTCTGAACTGAGGAATGTCCTTACCAATATGACACAGAGAAGACTCATGGAATTCTGACCAAAGAGCAATTAGCAAGAAAAATCAAGGAATTAGAAGCACACACACAGATATAATGTGACTTTGATAATATGTGTGGACAGCAGTGGTGTGTGACTGGCATCAGTGTTCTAGTCACAGAGAAGAGCACTGAATTTGCACCCAGTGTGCTATTTTCTGTGTTCTGTTGAGCTGTGGAGGAGCCTTGAACTCTCCTGAGACAGGGGAGGATGTCAGCATGGTGACTTCTCTCCTGTTTCTTTGAACAGTCCCACACTCCCCATGTAGTCTTTTTCTCACTGTTGGATTTGAATTAACTTCCAGTGATCAAAAGAAGATCTATATTGGGGATGACAACCCTCTGACCCTGACCGTGAAGGCGCAGAATCAAGGGGAAGGAGCCTACGAAGCGGAGCTCATCGTCTCCATCCCACCGCAGGCAGATTTCATCGGGGTTGTCCGAAACAATGAAGTAAGCAAGCTGCCCCTTTGAAAACCACAGCATACTCCCAGGTCTTATTAACATTAATGAGGTAGTCCCTATTTAGTGAAGCCCAAGCTTAGCCATTCTCCCTAAGACTAAATTGCTAGACAATAGAGTGCCTATCTTACATAATTCCTTTCAGGCCTAATACTTTGAATAATATATTGATGTGCAATCATTACGTTTGCCAGCCCAGCATCTGAAAAATGAGGTCAGCTAGATAAAGTCTCTAAGCCTGCCCATCACATTATTAGTCAGAGGCAGTAGGATCAGAATCTAAGTCCTGCAGGGAGCTTTCCAAGGCTTTCACATTTACATGCAGTGGTTGTCCACAGTGCTGCCTTCTTTTTCTAGTTGCTCAAATAGATTTATTTGCTTCATAGAGAAAGGAATTTAAATATCTACTGGATATTGGATAGGGACTTTGTAGTTTCTGCTTTCTTGGCTACTATTAATTTTCTTTCTACATTCCTCCAACCCCGCTCTTTATTTTCTTTTTTGTCCATCAAAGGCCTTAGCAAGACTTTCCTGTGCATTTAAGACAGAAAACCAAACCCGACAGGTGGTGTGTGACCTTGGAAACCCCATGAAAGCTGGAACTCAAGTAAGGTGTTTTAATTCAATTGATTTTTCTCCTTATAAATAGAACATAAATATTTCTCCCTATAAATATTTTTTTTCTCTAGGTTTCTTTATAGTAACTTCAAAATAAGTTGGGCTTTTCTTTGTTATTGTTGTTTGGTTTTGTGTACTGTGCTAAGGACTCAGCCCAGGTTCCAAGCAGGACCTTGTACATGCTTGGAAAATGCCCTACTGCTGAGCTACATACTTAGCCATGTTTTCTTTGTGTTTTTAAGATAGGATCTTGCTGTGTAAGGTCAACATGCCCACAAACTCAACTTCTTCCTGGCTATGCCCCCTTAGTGCTTGATGACAAGGGTGGTGTGGACCACCAAGGCAGCTCTAGGCAGTGTCTTTATCTTTATTTATTTCTTTACTTACTGTGTGTATGAGCGTTAGGCCTTTGTATGCATGCATGTATGCTACTCACACTGTATGGAAGTCAGAGGACAACTTTTGGGAGCTGATTCTCTTCTTCCGCCATGGTAGGACCTGGGAACTGAACACAGGTCATCAGGTTTGGTGACAAATGCCTTTACTCACTGAGCCTTTTCACTTGCCCTCAAAGTAGTATCTTTAAGTTAGTGTTGATTTGGAGTTTAGTTATTAGCAGAGTTCTATTCAGTTTAACTAGGACACTAAAATTATAGGTAAAGCTGTATACTCTTCCATAAACTTCTCCTCACACTGCCTTAAATCTGGTGAATAGACAAAAACATGATTTCAACTAAGGACTAAAACCATAATTTTAGTATTTTGAGCTGCCAGGGTGTCTATGGAGCCTTGAAAGTCACCTTGGCATACTCTTGGGTGAGATGATGCCATCTTATTAAAGCCTTGTATCATCTAAGTAGGAGAGACTTAGTTGGGTGAGGCTCCCCTTCTGAGGGGGGGGGGGGGCTTTAGGGCAGGAAGCCAAGCACTCAGGAAGGCTCTTCCCAAGTCCTCTGGAAAGGAAACAGGATGTGTGTGTTACTGGCATTAAGGAAAATATGGCTGTACATGAGATGCTTTCCAAGCAGATTCACTGACTGGCACACTGATGGCAGTTATGTGCAGATCTGTTGCCATGATCTAAACATTGCATGCTTCTCTAAGTGTGTTTCCACAGGCTGTCATTATTCTGGATAGATGCTCCCTGGGGAAGAGCTTTTCATTTTCTCATTCTCTCTGGTTTTCTAGCTCATACCTCCTTTAGTTCCTAGTTTTTCTAAGTAGCCAACTCCAGTAAAGTGAGTGCACTCCTACAGAGGTGCCATTTTTACATATCATTTATGTGATCCCCAAGAAGTCTGCTATCTTTTTTTTTAAAACTTGTTTATTTTTATTTTATGTGCATTGGTGTTTTGCCTACATGTGTGTCTGTGTGAGGGTGTCTGGTCCTCTGCAACTGGAGTTACAGACAGTTGTGAGCTGCCGTCGGGTACTGGGAATTGAACCTGGGTCCTTTGGAAGAGCAGCTAGTGCTCATAACCACTGAGCCCCAAGCCTGCTGTCTTATACCTTCCGCTCAGTTGTTTTCTTTAAAATCAATCAGTATTCTGCCTCAGGGCTCAGGATGTTAGGTGCTGGGGAAGGGGACTGGGAGAGGTGTGAGGAGAGAGAGCATGCTCTTGGTCCAGCTCCTCTAACTGTGCTCTGATAAACCCTCCATTGTCTCCTGTCTGGCTTCTTAGCTCAGGTCAGTGGTCAGCTTCCTAGAGCGACTCTTATACTCAATTGCAATGTTTTCATTGCAACAACAAACATTGTAATCTTTAGAAAGACAGCTAATACATAGGGAAGTATGATTATAATTAATAATTGTTAAGGAGCCTCCACTATGACATCAGTGGAAAATCAGATGTCATTATTTTTGTTCACTTTTACCATAAACTCATAAAAAGCATATTTCAGAACACACCTTTTTATTTGGATGTCAAGTTTGAATTTTCTGATTTAAATGAGGCACTGACCATCATTGTTACCTTTCCTCTCCCCAGCTGTCTGCTGGCCTTCGTTTTAGCGTGCACCAGCAGTCAGAAATGGATACTTCTGTGAAATTTGACTTGAAAATCCAAAGGTATGAAAACAATGTATTAGGCTAAAATAACCATTTTTCCTTATAAATATATTATATACTGCTCCTTAAAGATGGAATAATGTAGATTAAAATTTCAGTACTTTATTATAGGGTTCTTTAATCAGTATTTAATTATACAAATGATTGTCTTGTTAATTTGAGTTTATAAAACAAAATTAAGCACTAGGAAATAAAATTTATCTTCAGTTTTGAATTACACAGTAATTAAAATAATTGCTTGATTGGTAGGACTTTAGTTTCTGTACCACTTTGAATTGTTTAGTTTTAGTTCCTCTTTTTCCCTTTTAGAGGGAAATGTGCCCAGTTCAGTCCTGAGCATGTTTTTCCTTTTTCAGCTCTAATTCTTTTGACAATGTAAGCCCAGTTGTGTCTTACAAAGTTGACCTTGCTGTTTTGGCTGCTGTTGAGATAAGAGGGTAAGTGTGAGTCTCAAGTTGAATAGCGAATTGCTGTGATTGCTTCTGAAATGTAGCTACTGGACCCTGGCTTCCCATGGGCAGCCACGCCGGCTTAGTGCTGGTTTCCCAAGGCAGTGGGCTCTGTAGAGATAAGACCCTGAAGGTGTTCCAAAAGGCAAGTAACAGCAATCTTAAAATATGTTGATTGAACTTTCATGGCACTTGCTTACCGATTAATCTGATGCACGCTGATTTAGCAACAGTCAATTTTATGCATAGAAAGCTTGTTCATTCACAAGCTTTTCCTTTGAGGCTTTTTAAAATTAGGTCTGATTTTATTCAACTGAATACAGAATACTTAGGAAAATGTACTATGTTGTTTGATATTCATGGTAGGTTTTCTTTGGTCATTGTTTAGGGTCTCAAGTCCTGATCATGTCTTTCTTCCAATTCCAAATTGGGAGTACAAGGAAAACCCTGAGACTGAAGAAGATGTTGGGCCTGTTGTTCAGCACATCTATGAGGTCTGCAGTTATTGAACCCAATAGAAGGCTGGAGAAGGGGGAATGGGGTGATGGAGAGAGCAGCTAAACTTTTAAAACCCATCTTATACCATTTTGATGTGGTGTTTGCATAGTTTGAACATAATATACCAGAAGTACTGTTTGTAAGTTCATTTTTATAGACAAATATCTTTGTTTAAAGAAAGCAAAAGCAACTCTATCTGAATTTAAAAAAAATCCTGTGTATGCTCCACAGTATTTTGAAGTTCTGACTAAAAACTGGAAATGCATATAATTAAGCAGTTTTATTGTATCTACAGAGGCTATATAGTCAGCATTCCATTTTTTTACAATGTCATCCTGATAGATCTTTCTGTACTTGAGAGATAAACATTGCTTGACTTTTGTGCATAATGGTTATGATTACAGTCTAGCGGTAGAAACTGCTGATATTCAGATCCCATTGTTGATATGATTTCTAGTGATAACTTAATGGAAGGAAAGTGGAACTAATCTTTGTCCAAGGTGCTTACATTTTCTTTTTCTTATTAGCTGAGAAACAATGGTCCAAGTTCATTCAGCAAGGCAATCCTAAATCTCCAGTGGCCTTACAAATACAACAATAACACTTTGTTGTACATCCTTCATTACGACATTGATGGGCCAATGAACTGTACCGCAGATACAGAGATCAACCCTTTGAGAATTAAGGTAGTGTGTTTTAAGCAGCTCTTTATTACCATGGCTTTTTATTTTCTTTCTAAATGTATAAATGAAACACATGAAATAAAAACAACTATCACAATGTATGAACTCTGCAAAAAAGTATTTTAGTTCAGCCAGGCGTTAGTGGTGCACGCCTTTTATATATTTTTTGGTGATAGTGATTCTTTGTTCTACAATATATATTCACATAAGAATATTACATCTTCTATAGTCTAAGGAAAGTTCAGGAAACAAATAAAATAAGCCAGGCTCTGTGGCTCATACCTGTAATCCCATAACAAGTTTGAGGCTATCTGGGATTACGTTTTGTGTTCAAGGCCAGTCTGCTCCATATAGAAATATTCTGCTTCCCAAACTCCAAACAAATTAGACTCAAAACTCCTATGGTGACGCTCATCATAGACGTACTGTAGAATTTCAGGCTCTCTTCAGTGTTGGTATTGGTTCCCCTCTAGGGATGCATGGGAAAAAAGCAATGGTTAGGAAAAGGGTACATTAATGATAATTTGTAGGGTACATTAATGACTTTGATCTTTTATTTTCTGTCTTTTCTGTTCACTGACCATTAAGCGGTACATTTTCTGTCTTACCACATTTTCATGGACTGTGTGTTAATCCTATCTAAGTATCAATGCCCAGATGTCAATGTGAACTGTTTCCCATTATCATTTAACCCCTGTCTGACAACGCAATCCACGTCTAGTCTGTGCAGACACCGGAAAAGAATGACACAGCCCCTGGGCAAGGAGAACGCAGTCATCTCATCACCAAGCGGGATCTCACCCATACTGAGGGAGATGTTCACACTTTGGTAAGTGCCATCCCACGGAGGCACAGGGTAAAGATCTAAAAATATGCGATTGTAGGACAGACGGACTGACGACCAAGTGGCAGCAGCAGTAGGATCTGCGTCCTTCAGTCCTCTGCTCTTCTTGTTCTCAGATGACCGTTTAATAGATCGTTTAATAAAAGCGTTTTGTATCTGTCTTCCTTGACTGTGCTCCTCTAGCTGGACTTTTCTGATCTCCTCTTCCTCCTTGATACTTCAGTGCCGCGTGGCAGGAGGAGCCAGGAGGCCCAGTGATGAAAATGTATGAAAGAAATGTATTGTTTAGCTTATGTTAGTTTATTATTTAAAATAAGTAGATCTGAAGCCAACATATAGAAAAACTGGTAAAGCCCTTTCGCAATCACTATTTATTATTAATTATTATTATTTTTATTATTTTGGTTTTTCAAGACAGGGTTTCTCTGTGTAGTCCTGGCTGTCCTGGAACTCACTCTGTAGACCAGGCTGGCCTTGAACTCACAGAGAACTGCCTGCCGCTGCTTCCCGAGTGCTGGGATTAAAGGGGTGCACCACCACTGCCTCACAATAACATTTTATTTTATTTATTATTTATTAATCTATTTGAGACAGGCTCTTGATGTAGCCTGGTTTTTCTGAAATTTACTATGTAGACCAGGCTGGTATCAAACTCACAGAGATTCGCCTGCCTTTGCCACCCAAGTGCTGGGATTAAAGGTGTGCCTCACTATCCCCTACAATCACTATTTTTTAAAAACCCTGTGTTTTTGTGTTACATTTTCATTTGCGTGTGTTTGTGTATTTGTGGCACACACTTGCCATGGTATACCTGTGAAGGTCGGAAGACAGCTTGTGGGAGTGACTCCTTTGCTTCTAATATATGGGCCCCAGGGAATGAACTCAAGTCCTCAAGCTTGGTGATGAGAACCTTTACCTGCTAAGCCATCTTGCCAGTCCACAAACACTTTTTCTATGACCTAGTTCTAGGGTCCTTTACCAGGCTCATTGTTCAAATACTAACTTTCCCTCACATCATCTTTTCAAGGGCATCATCTCTCCTGGTTCTCTATCTGCCACTCCTCCTCCTCCTCCTCCTCCTCCTCCTCCTCCTCCTCCTCCTCCTCCTCCTTGGTCTCCATTTTCAGATCCTACATTGAACTTCAGGGTCTGTTTATCTGCTGATTAGAATTCCTCTTACATGTCTATCAGAAAATAGCCAATATAAAAATACATCACGGAGTTTTCCCAACGCCTCTTTTTTCACGGTGACCCACATGTAGTGAATATAAACTCCATTTTCTGTACAAATCCTTCTTTATCACTCAACACCGACCTACATTTCATCAAATGTCATCACTATCTACTTTGTAAAGCACTCGATTCTGACCCTCTTCACCAGCTCCACTCCTTCAGTGTGACTTAGACCTCCCTCTTTCTCTTGACTTTTACCTACCGTGGCCTCTGACTTTATGCCCTTATCTCCCCTTGAGTTTATTTGCCACAGAACCTGTTGGGGTTCTTTGACTCCAGGACCTTCCCAGCTGACTCAGAAAATTGCAGGTGGCTGGAGACAGAGCCCAGTGGTTTAGAGCATCAGCTGCTTCTCCAGGGGATCTGAATTTGCTTCCCAATACCCACAGCAGGCAGCTCTCAGCGACAGCCACAGCTCCAGAGGGAGCCAGCATGTCTGGTTTCAAAGAATACCATGTTTGCAGTAGTGTTTGCTTATCCTCATACAGTTACACATATTTAAAAATAAAATATTCATAAAAAAAAGAAAAAATAATCAGAGCTCCTAATGTAATAGGATTTATAATGTAATAGTCTGCAAACCACACACACTCCAGGACTGGCTGTCTCGAAGTTTGTACCTTGTCTCCCACACTTTGTTTCTCTCTTCCCCACTTTGCTTTAAAAAAATTAGTATTTATTTATTTTTATATTGAAATGTTTTTTCATACGATATATTTTGATGAGTTCCTCCCAGATACTCCTCCACATTCCTCCTCACCTAATTTTATGTTCTTTTTCTTTTTCTCTTTGAAAGAAATAAGAAGAAAAAAAAATACAAAAAAAGTCTCACAAAAACACAGAAACAGAGGGGGGAAAAACCACAAAAGACCAATAAGATAGAAAAATGCCAAAGCAAAGCAAAATGGAAAAAGTCCACAAAAATACTATTGAGTCCCTTTTGTGTTGGCCAACTATTGCTGAGGACGGAGCCTGCCCTGGAGTGCGGTTGATGTAGCCAGAGAGACTCTATTGGAGAAAGCGATTTCTCCCTTTGCCAGTGGGTATCAGTTACAGCTAGGTTCTTAGTTAGGGGTCGACCCCATGTTCACTTCCCCTCAGTCCCCTGCCTTTGGCTTAAATCTGTGCAGGGTTTGGACATGCTGTACGGTTTCTTTGAGTTCATATGTGTACCAGTCCTGTTGTCTCTAGAAGACCTTTCCTCAGTCATCCATTACCTCTGGCTCGTAGAATTTTTCTGCCTTCTTTTCTACATAGACTTCACATTAAAGCCTTAGTGGGAGGGGCTTTGATAAAGACATCCCATTTAGCACTGAGTACTTCAAAGTCTTTCGTTCTCCGCACATTGTCCAGTCTACTGCAAGAAGAAGCCTCTCTGATGTGGGTTGAATTAGGCACTGACCTATGGGTGTAACAGTATGTCATTAGGAGTCATTTTATTGGTATGTTTCTTAAGCAGAATAATAAATAGTATTAGGTTTTTCCCTTCTCCCATGACCTATCTAGTCTCAGGTTCTTGGCCACTTTTGTGTAAATGGACCACATTTTCATTATCCATTCATCAGTTGATGGACATCTAGGCTGTTTCCAATTTCTGGCTATATGAATAGGGCGGCAACAAACATGGATGAACAAGTATCATGTAGAGTCCTTTGGGTATATCCTCAAGGGTTGTATAGCTGCATCTTGAGGTAGACCAATTCCTAGCTTCCTGAGTAGCTGCCACATTGGTTTCCACAGTGGCTGTACCAGTTTGCACTCCCACCAGCAATGAATAAGTGTTCCACTTTCCCTACACCCCCACCAGCATGAGCTGTCATTTGTTTTATTGATCCTGATCATTCTGCCTTGGGTAAGATGGAATCTCAAAGTAGTTTTCATTTGCATTTCCCGACCAGGGATTCAGAGTGCTAAGGATATTGAACATTGCTTTGTTTCCCAGCCTTTTGTGTTTCATCCTTCAAGAACTCTTTGTTTAATTCTGTGCCTCATTTTTAATTGTGTTATTTGTTTTCTTGATGTTCAGGTAGTTTCTTTTCTTTTCCTTCCTTTTGTATTCTAGATACTAACCTTCTATCAGATATATAATTGGTAAAGATCTTTTCCCTTTCTGTAGGCTGCTGCTTTGCCTGAATGGTAATGTCCTTTGCCATATAGAAGCTTTTCAGCTGTGTGATGTCTCATCTACTAATTGTTGGTCTTAGTGCCTGGGCTAACAGTGCTCTGTTCAGAAAGTCCTTTCCTGTGCCAACGAGTTCAAGCCTGTTCTGCATTTTCTGTTCTACCACATTCAGGGTATCTGGTCTTATGTTGAGGTTCTTGATATATTTGGAATTGTCTTTTGTGTAGGGTAATAGATATAAATCTGTTTTCATTCTTCTACATGCAGCTATCTAGTTTGACCAGCACCATTTATTGAAGACGATGTCTTTTTTTCAGTGTGTATTTTTTTACTTCCTTGCTAAAAATCAACTTTCTATAGATGTGTAGACTTACGTCTGGGTCTATGGTTAGAGCCATAGATCAACATGTCGGGTTTTACTTCAATACCATGCTGTTTTTACTAGAGCTCTGTAGTACAATTTGAAATCTGGAATGGTGATACCTCCAGCAATTCTTTTATTATGCAGGATTGTTTTAGCTATCTTGAGCTTTTGAGTTTCCATATGAAGTTAAAAATTGTTTTTTCAATTTTTTCAATTTTTTTATTTTGGATTTTTTTTTTTCGAGACAGAGTTTCTCTTGTTTAGCTTTGGAGCCTTTCCTGGAACTCACTTTGTAGACCAGGCTGGCCTCCAACTCACAGAGATCCACCTGCCTCTGCCTCCAGAGTGCTGGGATCAAAGGCGTGCGCCGCTGCCGCCACCACCACCTGGCTTTGTTTTTTCAAAAAGAAAAAAACTATTGGGATTTTGATGGGGCTTGGTTTTGGTAGGATGGCCATTTTCACAATGTTAATACTACTGATCCATGAGCACATTCTGGTCTCTTCTACAGTTTCTTTCTTTGCTGTCTTAAAGATTTAATACAAGTCTTTCACTTGGTTGGTTAGAATTATCCCAAGATTTTATTTATTTGTTTGTTTGGTTTTTGGCTGTTGTGAAGGTGTTGTTTCCCTGATTTCTTCCTCAGTCTGTCATTTGCATGGAGGAAGGCTACTGATCTTTATGTGTTAAATTTTGTGGAGGCTTTAGGGTTTTTTTTATATATAAGCAGATATCTGCAAATAAAGTTATTTTTATTTATTCCTTTCCTATTTGTATCCCCTTAATCTCCTTCAGTTGCTCCAGCTAAGACTTCATATTGAGTAGGTATAGAGAGAATGTACATCCTTTGTCTTGTTTCTGATTTTAATGGAAATGCTTTGAGTTTCTCTACATGTAGGTTGATGTTGGTGATAGGCTTGGTGTAAATTGTCTTTATTATGTTGAGGAATGTCTCTTGTATCCCTATTTTTATCATGAAAGGATGTTTGATTTTGTCAAAGATCTCTTGTACATCTAATAAGATGATCGTGTATTTTTTTTGTGTTTGAATTTGTATAGTGGATTACTTTTATTGATTTATATATGTTGAACCATCCCTGAATTTCTAGACTTAAACTAACTTGACCATAGTGGATAATTCTTTTGATGTGTATTTGCAAAGGTTTGTAAGTATTGTATTGAGAAACTTTTGTGTCTCTGTTCATAAGGCATATTGGTCTATAATTTTCTTTTTTTTGGTGGATCATTTTGTGTGGTTAGATATCAGGGTAATTGTGGCCTAGTAAAATAATCAGGCAGCATTCCTTTAGTTTCTATTTTGCAGAATAATTTGAGGAATATTGACATTCATTCTTCTTTAATGGTTTGGTAGAATATTGCACTGAATTCATCTGGCCCTGGACTGTTTTTGGTTGAAAGAGTTTTAATTACTGCTTCTATTTCACTAGGGGCTGTGGGTTTGTTTAAATTGCTTATTTGATCTTGATTTAACTTTGGTAGATTATATATTTCATATATTTCTTTAAGATTTACAGTTTGGTGAAATGCAGATTTTAAAGTATGTCTTTATGATTCTCTAAATTTCCTTGATGTCTGGTGTAATGTCTCCCGTATCATCTTTAATGGCACCAATTTGGATCTCTTCTGTCCATCTTTTAGTTAATTTGGCTAAGGATTTGTCTGTTTTGTTAATTTTCTTAGAAAACTAACTCTTCATTTTATTGGTTCTTTGTTCTTATTGTTCATATTCTACCGATTTCAGCCCTGAGTTTGATTATTTATTGCCATCTGTTCTTTTTTGTGTATTATTTCTTCTTGTTGTTCTATAACTTTTAGGTATGTTGCTAAGTTATTAATATGAGCCTCAGGGATTCTCCTGTTTCTTCCTTCCTAGCAGTAGGATTGCTGGCATGCGCTTCTGTGCCTTACTTTTATTCTGTGGGTGCTGGGGATCAGAACTCAGCTCTTTACGCTTGCCAGCAAGCACTTTACTGACTCACATACCTCTATTTCTTGCTTAATTCTATTCTGTTGATTTCTGTGTGTATTCTTTTTTTTTTTTTTTTTTTTTGGTTTTTTTGAGACAGCGTTTCTCTGTGTAGCTTTGTGCCTTTCCTGGATCTCGCTCTGTAGACCAACCAGGCTGGCCTCGAACTCACAGATATCCACCTGGCTCTGCCTCCCGAGAGCTGGGATTAAAGGCGTGCGCCATCACCGCCAGGCCTATGTGTATTCTTCATGATGATAGCAAATTGTTTTTATTACTATAGCTCTATTTCCCTCTTCCTTTCTTTCCTTCTTCTTGTCCTCCCTCCCTCTTCTCTCTCTCTCTCTCTCTCTCTCTCTCTTTCTTTCTCCCTCTCTTTTTCTCTCTTCCTTTCTTGATCACACTGTAGCTCATGTTGGTTGGAATTTGTACTGATCCTCCTGCCTCAGCTTCCTGAGTGCTGGGAATACAAGCTCGAGCCAGCACGTTTGGCTTATTTTCTTCTTTTCAAGGTGATTTTGGATGTATGGTATTTATAGCAACTCCTTACGGACTTTCAGGTCAGTTTGGACATTTCTTTGGGCCATTTGTATCTTATTGGCAGTTTGTGATTCTGACTGAGTTTGAGAACTCCTGCCTCCTAGAACACAGGCTATCCGGTTTGGACTTCTTTAATTCCTTCCAGCAGTATTTCTTAGTTGTTAGTGTACCGGCTTTGCACTTGTAATTGTTGAGATGCTTAATGTCCTTTTGGATGCTGTTGCTAGTGTACAAACTCCAAGTCGTTTTTGTATGTTGAACTTGTACCCTGCAAGATCTGTGCAGTTTTTGTTTCTGCACTTACTCATCAGCTCTTTATTAGTTTTAGTGTAGTTTGCTTTTTTTGTTGTTTGTTTTTGAATACATATTTAACCCATAAGATCTTTTCATCTACTGAGAGACAGTTTTTCTTTACCTGTTCACTACGCTGCTGTTGGAGCACACCGACTACAACTGTGCAGTTGACCAGAATCAGCATGTCCAGACCAGACCCCCTTGCCTCGTCTGTGGTCTTCTCTGAATGTAGGGTTAGTTGTGATTCTGTCAGATGCCCTTTATCGGGTGGAGGAAGCTCACTTCTCCTCCTGTTCCTCAGCTCCTGGTGCCTTTCACTGGACAGCACTGCTGTGAGGTGCATGCATGTGACACAGTGCAATGTGACCAGCACACGGAAGGTGGTGGATATTTGTTTCCCTTAGCCGCCAACCTTCAAGTTCTTGCTGAAAACACTAATTACGGCAGATGGCCTCAGCATGTGATTTTTCTCTCTGCAGGTCTCACACAGATGAACAATTAAAGATTCACTGCTTTCTTTGCTTTTCCACAGTGTTGCTGTGATCCGATGTTTATGTCTTAAAATGACCGCGTTGAGGGGTTGCCTAAAGAATGTTGAATTGTCATAAAAATGAACTTTTCAATATTATATATTTTATGTTTCTAGAATAATTTATGTTAAAAAAAAACACACACTGCTTTTGCTGGTTGTGACGGCCCATACCTTTAATCCCAGCACTAGGGAGGCAGGAGCAGGTAGATCTCTTTGAGTTCCAGGCCAGCTTAGTCTACATAGTGAGTTCCAGGACAGCTAGGGCTATAAAACAGGACCCTGTTTCAAAACAAACAAAAGTTACAACAAAAACCAGTGTGACAAGAGAACAGAGTTAACTGTTGGCTTGTTTGTTAAGCATGTTTATCCCTAAAATACAGAGCGATCTATACAATTTCTCTTCCGCCTTCGTGTAAGAATGCTTAATGTTCAAATGTTAAATGTTAATGTTAAAAAAAGACAGTGTGATCTTATTTTGTAAGTAAAAATGATTCACTCTGGCAGGGTTGTGGAGTTGCTAAGTGCCTGCAGATCGTCTGCCAGGTTGGTCGACTGGATCGAGGGAAGAGTGCCATCCTGTACGTGAAATCCCTGTTGTGGACCGAGACGTTTATGAATGTAAGCAGATAGATGTACCAGCAGATGTACACATTTTTCAAAGGAGTGATAAAGGCCTGCTGCCTAAGGAACCTTCCTGTTGTTGTTTCCATTCAGAAGGAGAACCAGAACCATTCTTACTCCCTGAAGTCGTCCGCTTCATTTAACATCATCGAGTTTCCTTACAAGAATCTGCCGATTGAGGATCTCTTCAACTCCACGCTGGTAAGTCATTGAGTTCAGAAAGTGAACGAATGCATGCAGTGCAAACACTTTCGAGTTTTTTAATGGAAGTTTAACTACCATAATTGAAAGTAATGAAGCTATTTGAGAGGATTAACATTTTAGACTTGAAAGCCTTTCCTTCTTTTTATTTTTTAATTACATTTGTTGTGGTGGTAGAGGAGGGGCACGTGTCACAGTATTCACGTGGAGGTCAGAGGACAATTTTCCAGAATGGATTTTTTTTTTTTCCTTCCATCATTTGGGACCTGAGGATTGAACCTAGATTACCTGAGGATTGAATCTAGATTATCAGTTGTGGTGGCAAGTGTCTTTAGCTGCTGAATCATCTCCCTGACCCAGGATTATACTCTTGTCCTATGGTATCCTTTATTTCCTTAACCTGGAGTTAGTAGAGCTGGGCCTTTGTCTTTAGTGCTTTGTTTTGTGTTACAGGGTGTTTTTGTTTCTTTGTTTTGTTTTTTACTGTATACCAAATTTGTTGGGAGATACTTTTGGTTACTTTCTCCTCACTAAGTTATAAGGTTGGTAACTAACTACAACCAGTAAACAAATTTTGAAGATATTTAAATATTGAAAATGGGATCAGCTGTCATGATCTGTATTGGGTTATTTACCTGTCATTTCATATGAAATCTGATGGGAGCTTTATGTGCATGCTGTTGACACCTGACGTGCACTCACTGAATTAGTGTATGAAAATAGAACATGATGTGAATACCACTAAAATAAAAATTAAAAGTAAGTCATGTACTGACGAAGTCAGAGAGCTGTCTAAAGCTCAATGTGTTTTCCCCCACAGGTCACCACTAACATCACCTGGGGCATTCAGCCGGCGCCCATGCCTGTGCCCGTGTGGGTCATCATCTTGGCAGTTCTCGCCGGACTCTTGTTACTGGCTGTTCTGGTGTTTGTAATGTACAGGGTAAGTAATGGACTTTGGGAGGGAAGGGGAGAGACGAGGAGAAAAGGGGAAGGGATGACAAGAGTAAAGAAAAGAAGAAACGGAGCCACAGTGACGCTGCTGGGTGAGCCGGGCCTATTTCAGGATGGGAAACTAAACAAAAATGCCGTTTGAACTTTCGAGCTGATGATAGAGTCACTCAGTCGTATTTTTCGCATTCTGTTGAGAGAGCTCTGCTTTTTCTCTAACTGACAGATGGGCTTTTTTAAACGTGTCCGACCACCTCAAGAAGAGCAGGAACGAGAGCAACTCCAACCTCATGAGAACGGCGAAGGGAACTCTGAAACCTAACCGCGGTTCTGAAGCTGCGCCACGTCTGGATCCACTAAAGTTACCACTTTGGTGATAGATTTATATATCTTTCATGAAGAACAAAATCCCAAGATTGTATTGCTGAGGGTACCCAGTAGCCTCAGTTTACCCACAAAACTGAAATGAGTATTTGCCGACTTCTCTTTATAAATAGGTTCAGCTTAACATTTACTTCACATACACTGGCGCGTGTTTTTAGGCATTTAAGTGAGGAAATTTCAAGTGATAATCCTTGTTCAGTGTACATAAGGCACTTGAGTTACCACATTATATAACACGGTACCTCTTCAGTTACTGTTTCTAATTTACTATGTGAGGTTTCTCTCTTCTTCGATGTTATGTTAAAGCAATTAGGATTTTTAAAGCAATTCAAATTTAGACCTTAGCGTCAGTAATTTTGCACAGGTACTTAGAACATTAGTACACATTACACTACAGTTGATTTTATAAGCTACTGAAGACTCTGCAATTGCATGGACTTAGATTTTAATATCATTTATATAGTAGAACTTTAAAAAAAAATCTGATACCATCAAAATTCTTTCCTGGGGCTATAGCTCACTTCAAAGCATGTGCAAGTCCCTGAGTTTAATCCTCAACACTGGGGGAAAACAGTAGCTTCCTGTATTAACAACGGTACAGTATTTTTATATGAAAATTAGGTTTTTATTTATGTTTAGTCTGCATTGTATTTTATTGTATTTTAACTTTTGTAATTTAAATTCTATATCAAATCCTTTAAGCCATTTCATGCTGAAAATTCTATAATTGAAAACACTCATTAAGCAATAGTTTGATCTCAGCTGAATAATGATGATGATTGAAGCCATAGGAGTTGGAAGTTGTTTCTGAGGTACATCTATTTCCTTTGTCTAACTGTTTGCTACATATAAAAGATCAAAAGACCCTCTTTGTGGTTCTTTGCTGTAATTGCTCATCAAAATGACATTCTTTAGTTAGACTGGGGCTTCTAATTGGTGTTAATTTATTTTTCTCCTGTATTCATATTTTCCTTCTATTTCCAAAATGGAGAATGGGTCAAGACTGTCTTTATAACCTGTAGGAGCCTGGATCTCCCACCCTTACCCCACGAGAAATGCTTGGAATTAGCATTCCAAAGGTAGCTCATGGTTTGCTTCTATCATGGGTATTACCTCAGGTTAAGCAAGCAATGCATAAAACCTGCCTCAGCTGTCAGAATAAATGCTAAAAAAAAATATTTTTATAAGCAGCTCAGGTTACTGAAAATCTTCTAAAGCTTTCTTACATTTGTTAACATAAATTTTCTGGGGCTTTAATAAAGGCAGCAGAGTTAGCAAGTTATGGTCTTAAGTGGCTCTGATTTATTCACAGTTCCTCAAGGCCATAGGATGACTATCAATTATAGCTATTTTTGTCCAATTACATCATGTTATGCACTAGAAGTTGAGAATTTTAATAGCTTTTTAAACTGCTGTCCTCATTAAGGAATGAAAAATATTTCTCCTAAATAATTGAATATTTTTCTACATTTTAAAAATAATTGAAGTTTGTCTCACCATATCTTGTGTTAATTCCATGTGCATATGGCTGAGCTAATTTGGAGAATTTATTTTCATAACATGAAGCACATTTCGGTGAGTTGTACAAGTTAGAATATAGACAGGACCCTATATTTAGAGTTAATGAACTTTTAATAACTTTTTGGGGTATAAAATTTTTTTTTTTTTTTTTTTTTTTTTTTTTTTTTTTTAGGTTTTTTCGAGACAGGGTTTCTCTGTGCAGCTTTGCGCCTTTCCTGGATCTCGCTCTCTAGACCAGGCTGGCCTCGAACTCACAAAGATCCGCCTGCCTCTGCCTCCCAAGTGCTGGGATTAAAGGCGTGCGCCACCACCGCCCGGCGAGGGGTATAAAATTTTTTAATGGCTTGAAAGATCATAATTATATACATAAGTATATTTTTAACCAATAAATTTAAATTCTTTTAAGAAATATTTTTATCTTAGGGCCAAGTGTTGCCCACCACCATGCAGTCACTCAGTTGGCCTATAAAAACTTTTACCTTTTCTGTCTTCCTACATAATAGCTGCCGTTCCTGAAAATCAATGAAATTCATTCTTTGGCAATAGAATCAATATTGATTTTTACAGTTATTCCTTTATGGCTTCTTTGCCAAGGAGTAACTTTCTGTTAGAGATTGAAAGATGAGATGTGGTTTTCTACAGTAGTATGGATATTCTTTGAAAAAGTATAACTTTGTATCTCTGTAAAATTAGGAACTGTAATTTCAAAGTCAACTCTGAAAAGAATGTTGATTCTTTTTCTTCTATAGCAGCATATGAATATATTTGACAGAATATCAAAAGATCATTTTAGCTTCATATATGTAATTTACTGAGAATTAAAATTCATTTATAAGTATAAAGTTTTCGTAATCTAGTTCAGTTAAAACAAATTGAGTGATCCAGAGGACATTTGACACGTGTGAGAAATATTGACACCAATATTGATTTCTTACAGAGATATTTTTTAGAGTTGATAATTTCAAACATCTGTGTCAGGATTTCCCCCCGCCACACACACACTTATGTTTAATTATCGTCATAATTCTGAATAACTATAAAAGGTGAAGCAGTCAAAATGTTATTGTCTTAATTCTACCTGAATTATGAAATTACTTATTAGTTAATCCTCACGAATACAACATTATTTACATAGTGGGGAAATTGACTAATAACAGACAAGTTTTGCTGTTGCTTTAAGACAGCCGTGGGGGCTTTGATAGTGAGCCTAACCCCAAGGAGAGATTTCTGTGGCAAAGTATAGATAGAGCAGCTGGTTCTTGGAGGGCAATAGAGTGCTAAGGTGGCATCTGTTCCCGTGTGGCAGAATGTCATGAAGAGCCTCATGGAGAAGAAGAGTAAATTGTTCTAGATTACCTGTGTGGCCATCCATCACCTGTCTGAATGTCACCTTGTTTTTATTCATGGGTGGCTTGTACATTTAATTTGATGAGTAAGGGGAAAAGGCAAACAAAATTGTATTACGGGATCCAAAAAGGCAAATAAAATTGCTTAATGTCTAGTGGTTTGTAAAAGGTCTCTGAGCTATGATCCTGTGGATGTGCCATCTGCAGTATACACTGGCATTCCTTGTGACTCCTGTTATGTCATGCTTTCTGTGAGGGGTACTGAATCTTCGGTGTTTGTTGTCATTGTTCTCAAGTGCAATATAACAATGTAACGAAACATGTAAGTCATTATTAATTTAGTAAGCCTAATCTCAATAGAGACTTATTAGTATTTTGTTGTTGTTGTTGTTAGCAGGAAATTCTGCTGTAGTTGTAGATACACAGGTTAAGTTTTTTACTTCTAAACTATTCATTCTGCATTTTATTTTAGGTGGAAAATGAACTGTTCCATATTTGTTTTAAAACACTTTCAGCATCTTGGGGTAACTTGGAAGGTGTGTCTATCAAATTACTCTGCTCTTTAAGTAACATGGAAGGTAATTTTCTTCGGCTTCTCTCGTGATCGCCCACATTGGGTGAGACATAAAATGGGTCTGTCCTGAAATCTGTCGTTTGCTAACTTGGGTTGAGTTAGTACAAGTAGGTACCACGTTCTGCTTTGTTTCCAATGTGTAACTTGGGACTGTACAATAAACTTGAACATATGGTGCCAGCTTATGTGTGGATTCTACCCTCTCCTACAGTCTCTTGTTTCTTAGTCTCACAAACCAGCAGTAACACATCAAAACAGCGACTTCAGCGTGGTGACACAGCTCTCTAAAAGTTCAAATTTTTAAGAGGGTTAGCTATCCAAACAAAAGAAACGCACAAACCAAGAGCAAAGAGATCCTAATGTTAAGCCACATTCTTAGAGAGGAAATACATTCTTAGCATTTCAATAGCTCTGGAAATAGTAGAATAGTGCAAGTGAGATCGCATGAAATTAAAAGGCTTCTGCACATGGAGGACACAGCAGAGTGAAGAGGCTGCCTCCAAAACAGATGAAAATCTGCTTTACGGCCAGCAGAGGATTAATACCTAGAATATGTAAAGAACTCACAAAACTAAACTCCACAAAGCTAAACCATCCAGTCATTTAAATGAGCAAACAAAATACTCAGGCTTAGTTCTGAAAAGATGAAGTCTACGTAGCCAGTAAATACATGAAAAATGTTCAATATCTTTAGCCATCAGGGAAATGTACATCAAAACTACAGTTAAATTCAATGCCAACCGAGTCAGAGTGGCTGTCATTTAAAAAGCAAGCAAACAAACAAGTACTAGGGAGCACGTGTCAAAAAGGAACTCCTCGCCATAACTGGAGAGAATACAAGCCAGAGTAGCTACTATGGAAATCAGTATGGAAGTTCCACAATAAACTAAAAATAGAACTATCATCTGACCCAGCGATAGCAGTTCTGGACATCTAAGCACACAGGGTACACTTGATCACCCATGTTTATTGTGGCATTGTCCAGTCCTAGTCACAATAGCCAAGCTATGGAATCAGTGTAAGAGTCCATCAATGGAGAAATGAAATATGTGTTTACAATAGAATTTTATTTTAGCAATTAATAATGCCATTAGTTGAAGGAAATAAATGGGACTGGAGTTCCTCAGATTAGGTAAAATAAGAATCAGGGAGACATGTTGTATGTCTTCTCTCTTTTGTTGATTGTGGCACACATCTAAAATGACGTGCAAGTTGAAGGGGAAGAGGAAGGCAAGTGGTGGGGAAGGGGAGGGTGAAGAGAGGCTAATACAGGGTGTGTTCATAGTACGTGATGCACTCTGAGAAAATGGCATTGTGCAACCCATTGCTTTGAAGACTAAAATGCACTAAGAAAATAGAAGTCTTTAGGGTAAACACAAATTTGCTGGAAATTTAAGAATATTTGTATTTCTAAACAAATGATCTCTAGCTTTCGTTGCACAGAACTTTATTTTCACTCCCATCAGGTCGCTTTAAGTAATACACATTTACCTCTTCATTTCTTAAGTTTTTATGTCTGTACAATTCTAGTGGAATAAAACATTCTTAATACCCAAATCCAAACAGCTCCCATATTCCAAACTTAGAGCTGTGAGGTGGCTGGTGATCAATGTCAAGATGTGTAATTGGTAAAGACTGCGCGTGCTACAAAATCTGAAACACTGCTGACCCCACGAATGTCAGATAAGAAAGCTCAATGGAAGAAGTGTCCTATACAAATTTTATGGAAGGTGCTTTCCAGAGTGGTGTTTGCAGTGTATCACTCTCATCATAAATGTTTGCCGTGGGAACAGTAAGCTGGATGCAGACATTGTACAATGTAACACCGAAACCACATTAATGTACAGTTTTAGATTTCCTGTCCCAATATTCACTGAACTAAAGTGGCTGGAAAGTAATACACACATGATTTTTAGAAATGATTGGATAGAAAACTATTTGTTAAAAACGAAGCATTTTCCCCTGCACATTGGTGGGTTTTAGTGTCATTTTAAACACCATGGTCCTAGATCGCCTTTCTCATGCTCCTTTTTTATCCAAGGAATGTTCTTGCAAACGAGGGGCCATTTGTTGCAAAGCACTCTTGCTTTAGTTTCAAACACAGCTTCAGTTAACACAGCAATACAGTTCTGAGCTCGAGAGACGGCTCAGTGGAGCTGTAGACCACAGTGATACATGATAATTTGACGTTTGTCTTCAAGCCCCAGATTGTGGTTAGACACTAGAAGAAGTCTTGGCCCTGTGGGAAAAGTTTGGTAAAACAATATGCATTTATTTACTTTAAGGTAAAATAACTACGTAAGTTATACTTCAGATACTGATTTTTAAATGTATCTCACCCAACGTTTTTTTGATTCATGAGTGCTTAGCCCTCATTGAATCAGATAATGCAGATTTTGTAAATTCCACAGATAGTGCCCATGTCAACTGTATGGGAAAGGGAACATATAAGAACCATCTGAACACTTAAACTTATCTCTAAGAACATGCCACGATATTGACTGACACAGATCACTTGTAGTAAGGCCGTGTTTTAGTACTTTTGTTTACAGAAGGTTTGATTGTGTAGGGAAAATAAAGGTGATTTATCAGCAGTCAGGTCTCTGGAGCTGTCTCCATTTCTTCCTTTCCTCTGCTCGGATGTTGAGGTAGCTTGGACTACAAAGCAGGAAGACAGCTTGAGGAGGCTGAGGAAGGCTCCCAGCCAGGAGCCCCTCTGCCAATACCACCTGCTCACACAGGCAAAGCTGACAGAACCAAAGTGCAATGTGAGGCATCTCCCTTTGGCATCTGTTTTCCAAGCAACATGTAGTCCATATATATTTTATAAAAGATTCACTTAAAAAAAATCAATACAAGTTGAGACTAGACATTTCAAACTGTAAATGGCAATGCCACATACTCCGGTATAAGCATGGGCAAAGCGCTGAGTCTCTCAGGTGTTTACTGCTTCCATCTGTTTAATAAGACAATGGGAGTTACTTTCTAGAGCTGCTCTGAAGAATATAAGGAGAGAATGTCTGTAAATGTCTCATTTTATTTTGTATAGGCATTGTTTCTATATTCTTGACCACAGCGATCTCCCATCACTGTGTAGACTGTTGTCTCCACCAAGCTGGAAACATTGAGAGGGATGATAACCTTAAGAATGGGGAGGTTGGGGAAAAAGCAGCTCAAGGGCTCTGCCAACTAGGAGGTAAAGAGTGATGTCACAG